CCAGCCTGGTGATAGAGCAAGACTTTGTCTCCAAAAAAAACCCCAGCATCTGTTTTTAGCCCAGTAGAGACGATTCCATGGTGTAAGCCTTGTTCCCAGGTGTGAGCCAGTGGCTCTTGGATGCGGTGCTGCTCCTTGGAGCCGCAGGGCAGCTTCCTAGAGCCCTGTGTGTTTGTCCAGAGAGGTTTGTGGGAGGGACCTGGGCCGTGCTGTGAACTTGGAGCAGCACCCATGTGTTCGGAGGAGCGGGTCCTGCTGAGGGCACAGCCACATTGGGCACAGTAGGTGTGTGGTTTGTGCAGCTGAGGCCTCTGACAACTGCCAGAGAACAGCTTTTGTGTGGGGGCTACCTCAACCTGCGTCCCAGGAGCCCGGGTCTTCTGAGTCTCGGTCGAGCCTGGGGAGAGCAATGTCTCCATGCAGCGGGTGCCTGGCTGTGGTCCCTTAGGCAGGAGCTTCCTCCTGAGTGCTGACAACAGAGAAGAATGCTCTGTTGTGGCCGGTCAAGTGTGCACAAATGCTGCTTGCGAGCTGGCCACGGAGGCACTCACCTGCAGAGGGGCTGTGCTTGGCCAGATAAGCAAACAAAATATCTCCAGCATGGTGGGCAAAATAGCAACTCTTAGACATCTGGCTTTGACAATGTGAAGATGATCGCGATTGTTTTTCAGAAAATACAAAACTTCATGGTTTCATAATTTATCTTAAACCCTATAGATATTAATAGAATAGGGTTAGTAATGATAAAAATGTGAATACTATATTTAGACTCCTTTTTCTGTTAATGGATTATAGCAACTCAGACCATATGCATTCTTAACTAATTTTCTCTCCAAGAAAGGGCTTCTCCATTTAAAATGCTGTATATAAAATGTTTTTAAACAGTTCCTTCAAAAAAGGCTATGTAGTTGCATTTTACAGTTGAAACAATATCATTTCTATTGAGTCAGCTTGTAGGCCTTGCCTTAATGTGACCCAGCTTGTCCCTGAGATGTTAGTCTTCCCCCCTCCCATGCATCGATTGTATGTGGCAGTCTTAGCAAGAGAATGTGTGGGGCACTCTACTTATATTGCCATATTAAAACTAAATGATTGGTTGGGCGTGGTGGCTCACACCTGTAATCCCGGCACTTTGAGAGGCCAAGGTGGTTGGATTGCCTGAACTCAGTAGTTCAAGAGCAGTCTGGGCGATGTGGCGAAACCGTCTCTACAAAAGTACAAAAATTAGCCAGGTGTGGTGATGCCAGCCTGTAGTATTTGCTACTTGGGAGGCTGAGATGGGAGGATCCCTTGAACCCTGGAGATGGAGGCTGCAGCGAGCTGAGATTGCACCACTATACTCCAGCATTGGTGACAGAGCGAGACCCTATCTCAAAAAGACAAAACAACTAAGTGAAATGACGCTCTACCCTGAGATGGACAAAAAGCAGAAGGGAGTGGCAGCCTGGCTGGCACTGGTGCATTTGGACTGGAACGTCCACTTCGGGAACTGGGCGGACTCTGGGACAGCGGCCCCTGGGACCCAGGCTTCCCTGGAGGCAGGTGTGCTGAGAAAAACAGCCTGCAGTTCAGTGGTAACAAGCAGCATTTTCCTATGACATCTGTGTTCATAAGACCACTTTGTTATAGTGGAATAGCATAATAACATTTGAGGAAATCAGCCAGATGTCTCTATGTATGGGTAAGTCTGAAAAAACAGTGTTGGCAGAATTGCAGACTGAGAGCCATATGATATTTTTCTACGTTTCCGAGTCTCACAAAAACAGTCCTTCTATCCTTAGGTTCAGCATACCCTGGAAAAGTATTAAAAACGAAGTGAGTGCGTCCCCATGGGCCCTGGGAGTTGTATGCAGGGCAGAGTCGAGGGGCGGCTGAGGATCTTGGGGACTGTAATTTTATCTCTACTGCTTATGTCTCTGGGAAACTTGAAGCAGGTATGTTGATAACAGTGACTTTTAGGTGTACTGGAATCAAACTGTCATGTTATTGTTTGTATTTGAAGCTTCTCAGTGAATAGAAACAAGAAGTCTGTCCGGGCGCGGTGGCTCACGCCTGTAATCCCAGCACTTTGGGAGGCTGTGGCGGGCAGATCACCTGAGTTGGAGACCAGCCTGGCCAACATGGTGGAACCCCGTCTCTACTAAAAATACAAAAATTAGGTGGGAGTGGTGGTGGGGCACCTGTAATCTCAGCTTCTGGGAGGCTGAGACAGGAGCATTGCTTGCTGCTTGAACCCAGGAGGTGTAGGTTGCAGTGAACCAAGATCACGCCACTGCTGCACTCCAGCCTGGATGGACAGAGCAAGTCTCCATCTCAAAAAAAAAAAAAAAAAAAAAAAAAAAAAAAAAAAAAAAAAAAAAAAAAAAAAGCCCACCCACCCAGCCCTGGTCCCCAGAAGTCACTGCCCTTTCTAGCCTGTACTGAGTGTGGGTTTGAGAAGTATTCAGGGAGGGCCTTGCTGCTTGCTGTGACTGGGTGGGCGGTGTGAGCTCAGTTCTGTCCCAAGGCCCTTCTGAAATGCTGTTCTAGTGGTTTGTCAGCCTTGGGATTTCTTTCTTCTTGTTACTGATGCACATACCCTGCCCGTCTGTCCTGTAGAGACTCTCCGTGACCCAGGGGTGCTGCTGGGTTGATGCTCGTGTGCCACTCAGAGGTCCTCTGTTGGTTCATGTCTAGGCTGGGAGGGGCCCTCTGTTCTTGGCAAGGCCTTGGGCTCCAGAACCCTTTATCTGCAGCTGGTTTGGGGGCTCAGACTCTAGGTGGACAACAGAAATGAGTGGGGACGCTCAGGGGCCTTGGATGTCCGTGTGAATTTGCTCATCTTGCCCTGGGTATCGGAGGAGGGATCCTCTTCCCTCTGTGTGTTTCTCCCCCTTCCTAGCTGTGAAAACCCTTAGCAACCCACCCCAGCCTCACGGTGCTGGCCTCGGGCCCAGAGGGAGAGACCTGGTTAGAAGCACAGATGGTGTAGGCAGGCCTGTTGGCTGGCCTGTGGACAGAACAGATGGAGGGCAGGCTGGAGGCCCCGAGGGCTTCAGCTGCACCTCTGTCTCACAGCCCGCCCACCACCTGAATCCCCAAGTCCTACCCACACTCCCCACTAGGGCAGGAAAGGGGAGCCCCAGACTGAGACCCCAGAGCGTATGGTACCTGTGGTGCTGGTGGGCAGGTACTGTTGCTGAGCTGGGCGGGGCCATACAGGACGGAGAGAGCCGCCTGGGCTGCTGATGGGGAGAGTGATGTGTGCCACTGGCTTTTGTGAACAAAGAGGTCTGTTCCGTTCTTCCCATTTACTGAAATTAGAGAATCGTTCGCAGATTTTAAAAGGTGTTATCTTTTTAAGGAATCAATTTAATATTCTTGAAAACTTACTGTTTACTCGTCTGCATGTGGATCTGGAAAGTGATGTTTAATTATGTATTTTAAATCATTCCCTGCATAGTAGAACATTATTTTTGCTTTTAAAATGGTAAGCATTACACAGTGTATATGTGTATCAAATCATCACTTGTACATTTTGAATATATACAGTCTTTATTTTTCAATTGAATATTCTAAAATAGAAATATCTTTCACACATATAAAACAATTAAAAAGTAAATATTTGCTTTTCTTAGGATATACATTTTTGTTTTTGAAAGAAAATTATTCCAAAGCAGATCATCATATTTTAGTTGCAGAAAAGAATTTTAAATATGTGTTGATACTGCTCGGTAAAAACAGACATTTAATCCACTCGAATCAAAAGGCAAATATCTTTTTAATAACTTCCTAATGATCTGTCTTGGTCAACTTGGGATGTTAAGAGAAATTATCAAGTGTTCTTATGTAGCAGCAAAATTCATTATTTAATATATCCTAAAGAAATGCATAAAAAGCAATAGATGTTTTTAAAATGCATGAGTTGTAAAGGTCCCCAAAATGAGACGTAAGATTGCAAAGGCAACGTATTCCAGAGTCTCACCAGTTTATGTGAGTCATTTTGTTGCTGACTGGTGGGAATGAAGGGAGATGCTTTCGAGGAGGCTCAGGGCCCTGCAGCTCTTCAGACGGGCGGCTGTCTTGGGGACTGGGCATTTTTAGAGGCCCGAGGCATGGCGAGATCAGGGAGTTCTCCTCACCTGACGTTGTCATGACCCGAGAGTCTGTCTTGTCCTTCACCTGAGGGTACCGTGCATTTTCAAATGGGGGTCTGTCCGCTCAGCTCCCCCGGCCATGGGGTGTGGTGCTCCGACGGGCGCCCTGACACCACTCCTGGGCTGCGCTGACCACTCAGGCCCCCCACCTTATTCCCGGGGTGCTCACAACCACCTGGTTTATGGGTTTCTCTGTTCTCTGCTCGGTGATGCCATTTTTGGGGATTTTATTGTTACACGTCATTTTACCATTTATTGTGTGAATGCTGCCATGACTCTTGCCCACTGCTGCATCCCGAGGACCTTTTGCGTGCCGCCGTTGGAGGAGGGGGGGTTCACGTCTCCTGCAGAGGCGTTCCCCACTTCCTTCGCCTGTGTTGTGAGAGCACTTGTGTGTTTAGAGGCTCAGCCTCCATGGAAGGCACACTCCTTTCTAGGGACAATTGTGGTTCTCCTTTCTAAGGAAAGTGGATTATCAGATTTGCAAACTAGTTTTGCAGCCATATAGAGAAATATTGGGATAAAAATTAACTCTCGTTTTGGAATTCTGCTCCATAATTGTCAGAATCAGACTTTTCCAGGCCGTGGTGCCACCGGCACGTTCCGGAGCAGACGTTGCCAAGGCCTGAGCAGTGGGTGTTCAGCCTGGGTCCCCTGGGCTGTGTCAGCATGCCCCCCACTTACAGTTTTACATTGAGAAATAAGCTCCGTGGAGGTGTTTGCTCTTGAGCCATGGATTTCAGACAGTAACAGTGGGGAAAGCTCAGCATCTCTGACTGGAAGCGCTGTCTTGCTGGAACGGTTACTTTTAGGCTGAATTTGGAAAAGGAGTCTTGCCCTTGACCTGGTGTCCTTGTGTTGCAGGCGTGGTGTCCCTTGTGGCCGTTCACCCCTCCACCGTCAACCCGCTTGGGAAGCAGCTCTTGCCAAAAACCTTTGGACAGTCCAATGTCAACATTGCCCAGCAAGTGGTAAGGCACCCACAGGAGCGGACAGTCGGGTGGGATTGGGATTGCATGAGCGTGGCTGGGGGTGTTCCCAGGCGTGATTGGATTTGGGCTCTGGTGGCAGCCTGGGGCCTTCCCTTCATCAGGGATCCCACGGCCAGTGCTCGGTTTTCCACAGCCCTCTGCAACTGCGCTTGTGCTGTTGTGGGAGAGGTGATGGCACCTCCTGCACTCCTGTGCGCCGCGGCCCATGCCATCCTTCCAGTAACTGGCAGGAGGTGGATGGGGTCGCGGCCCCGGCCAGAGGCAGCTTCCTCTTTGTGTCAGAGCTCATAGCTTTTCATCTAACAAGGGCTTCTGACATGTTGGGCCAAGTGTTGGCCCTGGCCCTCCTGGCAACAGCGGGCTGGGAAGCCAGGGAGAGGTAGGGCCCTAGCCGTAGCCGTGCGTTGGCCCTGGGGCAGTGACAGCAGATGCTGCTGCCTCCCGCACACAGGAGAGGAGCGCGTGGGCATCTGGAGGTGGCACCTCCCCCTCCTCAGGCCACTGCTGGTAGCTGATGCTGCTTCTGACAATGCTGTTTCCTGTCTCGTGTCCGCCCTCTGCATCCTCGATGGTGGGAGCCCATCCGAGAATCCTGCAGCCTTGCCTCACCAGAAATGGGGCCCCAGGCACCTGGTGGGCAGGTTTGGCTGTGACTGGAGCTGTTGTCGAGGGACACTGCCACCCCAAGGCTAGGACGGGCTTCCAGACCTTCCTCGGGACTGGTTTATGGTGCCTGAGGCTCCTTCCTGGTCCTGTGATGGTGCCGAGGCCCTGCTCCTGCAGGCCCTGGGCTGTGGTGACGTAGCGCCTCTCGCACCCCGGCCTCCTGGTCCACTCCACCCCTCACCCTGCTCCGCCCATGCTGTGGCCCTGTCTTCCTACAAGGATCTAGCACCCCCAGGTGGGATAAGAATCTGTCCCTCAGGTGTCCCCAGGTGTGTCCCATGGGTCCCCAGGCATCCCCAGGTGTCCCAGCCCCTTTGGGGAGCTCTGTACTGAGCTGTTTTATGCATCTCCCTTTGGTCTGATCATGTTTTCTTCAGAGAACAATGAGCACATACCAGGGATGTTTTGGTCATTTTCGTACTTTAGTCTTTACTTGATATGCATTCCTGCTATTTCCATTTATTTAAATACACTTGGAATTCTCCGGATTCTTTTTTTTTTTTGAGACGGAGTTTCGCTCTTCTTACCCAGGCTGGAGTGCAATGGCGCGATCTCGGCTCACCGCAACCTCCGCCTCCTGGGTTCAGGCAATTCTCCTGCCTCAGCCTCCTGAGTAGCTGGGATTACAGGCATGCACCACCATGCCCAGCTAATTTTTTGTATTTTTAGTAGAGACGGGGTTTCACCATGTTGACCAGGATGGTCTCGATCTCCTGACCTCGTGATCCACCCGCCTCGGCCTCCCAAAGTGCTGGGATTACAGGCTTGAGCCACCGCGCCCGGCCGGATTCTTTAACAGATCTTAGGATGTGAGTTTTAAGAGAGAGCAGCCTGTGGGTCACAGCCTTGGGACCTGCGCGGGACTCTGCTTCCCCGAGCCCTGCCGCGTGTGTGCTGCGTGCAGCTGTCCTGAGTGAGCAGTTCCAGATCCCAGGCAGCTCTCATGGCCCCTTTTCTGCCCGTGGAAGTTGACAAAACTTTGCTCTGCAGAAGCTGTGTGGCCGTTGAAAGTGGCGGTTTGTGAAAGCCCTACCACGTTATACAGCTGATCACAGCTTCTCAGTAAAGGCCATTTTGATAAAAGCTAAAAATTCCGTTTTTGTTTTGCTTTATAATTAGTTTGATTATAAGTTGGATTTTATAGGTGAGTTTATCATGGTGAATAATTGTAGCACCACTTCTGTCCTTACTGCCAGTACGAATGCATGGGAGGAAAATGAATGGGAAGATTGTCTTACCGATGTGCTTTAAACTTCGTCACTGAAAGTCAAGTTCCTGATTTAAATTCACCTGTTCCGGTGGAGCCTGTCATTGCTGTTTTACACTTTGCAAAATCGCAGTGATGGGAATTAAAGCTGACAAATGGCAAATGTCTCTTAAACCGTTTTATATACCACAGGTTTACAACAAATGGGACAGGCTCATTCTGGCTCAAGGGATGGGGTTCAGTCCGGCATGTGAGTGAAAGCGGTGGGGGGGTCATTAGATCTCTGATCTTCACCAGTCAGCAGGCACAGCACTCATCAAGGTCAGGGTCTTTTGAGGTGCAAACACCTGTGAAGCTTGTGGCGCTGCAAAGCTTAGCACATGCACAGAAGAGTGTGTGGGGCAGACGTGCTCTGCCGGCAGGAGCAGCAGCCTGTGTGAGCCCCTGGCGAGAAGCAGCCCCCACACCCAGGCCTGTGCCCCAGAAGGCAGCGTCTGTGGTCACAGTGGCCCTTCCTTTGCAGCTGTGCTGCTGGCCGTGGCTCTCTGAGCACTGCAGTTAACCTTGGTCCATCTCTAGGATTCTGTGTCTGGGTAGGGCCACGCTACACCGAGACATTGTAATCTGTTTTTAGAGTGTGTGAAAGGAAGATGCAAAAAGCGTGTTTGTAGGGCAGAAGGGATGCCTTAAATCAGGAGTCCCCAACCCCTGAGCCTGTTAGGAACCGGCCGCACAGTGGGCGATAGAGCGTGACCGCGCATGACTGCTGAGCCCCGCCTCCTGTCAGATCAGCGGTGGTGTTAGATCCTCATAGGTGCATGAACCCACTGTGACCTGCGCATGCAAGTGAGCAGCAAGCGTGACCGCCTGAGTCCCGCCTCTTGTCAGATCACCTGTGGCATCAGATTCTCATAAAAGCGTGAACCCGACTGTGAACTTCGTGTGCAGGATCTAGGCCATGAACTCCTTATTAGAATCTAATGCCTGATGATCTGCAGTGGAACAGTTTCTTCCCAAAACCACACCCACCCTGGTCTATGGAAAAACTGTCTTCCATGAAACTGGTCCCTGGTACCAAAAGGTTGGGGACTGCTGCCTTAAAGCACCAAGGCTCCCTGAGGAGCCAGTGAGGTGGAGGGCTCCTGGGGGAGGAGGGCTGGCCGCAGGCAAGGCAGACCCCCAGCAAGGTGGAACCCCGGCAGGTCGTCTACTGTGATAGGCTAGGCTTAACGCCTCGTGCCTGTTTTCTGATTGCTGGGGTGGAAGCTGCACAAGCTTTAGGGTCAAAAGACTGTTTGAAGCCATGTCATTGGCCTTCTCTGATGTGCAGCTTGGATTCCAGCTGTGAGCACAGTAGGAAGAGAGACCCCTCGTGACGTGCAGTGCCTGGGTCATCTCCCCTGCTCCCCCACGAGAGGTGGGTAGGGGAGTCACGAGGGCAGAGCCCATCCTCTGGAGAAGCCGCTATTAAATCTGAGGGATGAGGAGTGGGTGTCCCTGTCACCTTGCAGCCCTTGCCTGCCTCTTGCTCCCAGAGGGCTCCTGGGTCTCCTGGAAATGCCCGTTTGGAGTGAGACCCGCCACCTCCCAGCTCTGGGCAGCACCCCTCAGGGTGCTATGGCCACTTCCCCCATCCAGGGTCTCTGCCCACTGCTCCAGTTAGTGTGGCCACTACCTCCGAAATCTCCTTTCCTTTCCTAGGGGCCGAGCTCTGAACTATCCTTCCTGGCACTGTCCTGTCCACCCTCTGGCACCTCCTTGGTTCCTGCTTTCCCTGCGCTTCTGCCTGCACACGCGCTCCAGGGCTTCAGTGCGTTGCTGTGGCTCCTGTGGCTGTTGAGCGTGGCTCCTGGTGTAGGGAAGTAAGGCTTGGAGCCTGCCCCATGTCTATTGAATGGAGGCCGGAAGGCGTCCTGTGGCACAGGCGGCCGGTCCAAGTTCAGCCGGCTTCCCGTGCACCAGGAAGGAAACGCATGTACCTGCACCAGGTCTGGGAGTGAAGCCGCCGCGTCCCATTCTTGGGAGGGTTGGCTCTAGGCTGCCCCGGCGATGCTGACTTGGCTCACAGGGTTGGTAAGCGGCAGGTAATGGGTGAGGAGCAGGGACAGTGCTGCGGAGAGGCAGGGAGGGACCTGCTACGTGGGGCACGCAGAGGAAGGCGCAGGCGCCCCTGCCCAGCCCCGTGCGGGTCTGATGCCACGGCGCCTTCCACAGGGAGCAGTTAACGCAGGAGAGTAAGGAGAGCTTCCTGCAAGGCCTGGCCTCTGTAACGACACGTTCGCAGTGCACCGGCCGTGCAGTCTCGGGGTGCCTCTGGGTGTTGAGTCCTGTCTTCCAGGAAAGGTTGTTGGTGAGCATCCTTGAATGCCTGGTGTATACCTGCCCTCTGGCTTTTTCTTCTTCCCTACTTACAGTGGGTTTGACCTGCGATTTTTTTACTTTAAGATGGTCCCATAGCAACTCATATTCGGTGGAAACTGCTTCCAGTGCCCATGTGACCACCCTGTTTTTCACTTTGAGTGCAGTATTCAGTGAGTCTCATGAGATACCCACACTTGACTAGAGTGGGCTTTGTGCAGGGTGCTTCTGCCTGACTGGGCTAATGTGCGTGATCTGAGCATGTGTAAGGTAGGCTGGCTAAGCCATGAGTGTGGTAGCAGAGGTGGATGGTCATACATTTTGACTTAGGGTATTTTCTTATTTTTGTTTTTGTTTTTTGAGACGGAGTCTCACTCTGTTGCCAGGCTGGAGTGCAGCGGTGCAATCTCGGCTCACTGCAACCTCCGCCTTCCGGGTTCAAGCGATTCTCCTGCCTCAGCCTCCCGAGTAGCTGGGACTACAGGATGCACCACCATACCCACTTAATTTTTGTATTTTAGTAGAGACAGGGTTTCACCATGTTGGTCAAGATAGTCTCGATCTCTTGATCTCATGATCCGCCTGCCTTGGCCTCCCACAGTGCTGGATTATAGGGGTGAGCCACCGTGCCCAGCTGACTTAGGGTATTTTCAGCTCACATGGGGTTGTAAGTCAGAGCTGCTGTTTGTGAGTCGGTTTGCTCCCGAGTGGAGGACAGCGCCACGGCGACTGCATCTGTCTCGGGGCCAAGATCCAGTGCCTCTCGTGGTCCTGGGGTTCCCGGGGAAGGGAGTGGACCCATGAGGCGGGTTAGAATTGTGTGCAGGACTTCTCCAGCCCCCTCTACCTGTGCATGTGGTATGCTCAGAGCCAGCCAGCGCTGCCCAGCGTGGAGCTGGCAGGTTCTCAGTCTCATATCAACTCCCGGAGAATGGCATCCCCTGAACTCAGTGCGGGAAGCTGTGCGAGGCCAGTGCGCTCAGCAAGCAACATGGGCTGCAGGGCCCTGTTGTCGGCTGTTTAAATCTCCTATGTGGCCCAGTGCCCTAGCAGCACGCACACACGTACTGAACAAAACAAGTTTCCCAGGACATCCACCCACACCAGGAGATTGGTCTTTTTTGTTGTTTCATTTTGCAGAAAATTCCCTAGTTTGATTTCATGGCTTGCTGATGGGGTGATCCACAGAAGGCCACACTCTGATGAGTCTCTGATCATCAGAGACATGAGTGTCAATTAAAAGATCAGTCCCGTTGAAATGTTTTTCTTCTCAGGAGCTGACATGTGATCTGGCCTAGGGATAATTGGAAAGTGTCCCCATCAGCTGCTGCCAGGGCCACCGCGGGTGATGCATTTATCCCTCTAAGAAGGGGAGCCGGGGAGGGCACCAGCTTAGAGTAGCTCAGGAAGTCGGCCACATGAGGCCCCCCCAGCATACAGGTGTCCAGCTCCAATCCCTTTAACAGAAACTGCATGTTCACACAAGCAGTTTAATCGCTGAGGCAATTTGATTTGTTGTGAATTGAATGACTTAACATTTACTGAGAAATAGTGTTTCCAGTTTAGATAAAGTCATGCAACAAGATCTCTGAAGTCAGTTTTATTTGCCCCCACGAGGGAATGTCTGTGTGTCCCCTGGTATTAACACTTGTACATCCATGATGGAACTAAAGTGATAAGACTTTGCTAAAACAAACCAGCTAGCAATTTCCTTAAGGAAGAGACAGTTGTTGACATCTCAGGTGTGCCGTGGGGTGGGGTGGGTGGGTCAGCGTCCGCACTGGCATTGCCTCTGGTGGTTCCCCCCAGAGGGGCCCAGGTGTGTGAGCCCCGGGGACTCGTGGACTCCCTTGCTCCTTGCTTGATGCTGTTGTGGGTGCCGACTCCCCCGACAGGGCTCCAGGGTGCAGGGTTACCAGGTAACCCTGGCTACCTGGTTGTGACAATACGATGGTTGTCACCGTGTAGGTGTCACCCTGCTGGGCTGGGGGAGCAGCTGCTGTCACTCTGCCTGTGCTTTTGTCTTTTGAGAGCTGTTTTTGGCTTCAGGCCTCTTTTTAGTACTGTGGAAGGGTACAGTTTCATCCTCATCCATATCACTAAAAAGAAGTAAAAGAGGGTGAAGGGAAAACTAGAAACGTGCTGAGGGCCCTGTGTGGAAATCTGATCCGCCCCTCGTTCAGCCCCACCGTTAGTGCTTTGTGTGCAGTTTGGGGGTCACTCTCTGCCCTGTTCTGTCTTGGCTTGCTTGGGTTGTCCGAAGCTTCTTGTTGCGTGTGTCTAATTTGAGAAGATGCCTGTGGCTGACGAGAGGAAGGTGAGCCACGTTCAGAACAGGTGTGGTGGTGCCGTCACCGTGTCAGACGCGTCCACTGCCGGGCGTTTTTCCTGCACTGTCGTTGCTGTTCACTGCAGTTAATGGAATTCAGCAGTGGCTGTGGATAGCGAGCAGATGGTGGGCATGGAACCCTCGCCGTGTGGGAGGGGACTGACTGACTGAATTGTCTTTTTTGACTGTAGGTAATTGGTACGCCTCAGAGACCAGCAGCATCAAACACCCTCGTGGTAGGAAGCCCACACACCCCCAGCACTCACTTTGCCTCCCAGAACCAGCCTTCCGACTCCTCACCTTGGTCTGCCGGGTGAGCACTTCCCTCTGGACCCTTAGAGTTGTAGGATTGCTTGCGGTTCGCATCTCCACCTTCTCCTGGGCCACGCGTGTCACATAGTTGTGCGATGGGGCTCCCACGTGCATTGATGTCAGTCTCCAAGTGTTACCCATCATCCTGCCCTACACAGGTGTGCAGCCAAGGCGCACTGCCTCGGTCACAGAGAAGTCGGGCTGGGCACTGCCCGCCCCACTTGGTGTCTGGTGTAGTGAGTGGGTGCTCTTTGAGGGGCTGGCAGCTCTTGACCAAGACGGGTAGAAGCTGGCCTTGTACTCGCTGCAGGACCTGAGACTTTTCCTCGTCTGCGCTGGGAGCACATGGGACGGATTTCAGCCTCTGACCCTGAATTCAGCCGCTATGGCCCCTGGAGTTACGGCCCCTGCGGGTGGTCCCACCAGAGCTGCTCCTTCCACTAAAGCAAAATCTGACGAGCTGTGTCTTTCCTTAAAACACACACACGCACACGCACATGCACACACACACACACACACACACACACGGCTACAAAATCATGCCTGTGTCAGTGCCTGAAGCTTCACCAGTTAGGAACCGAACCTTGAGAGGCCTTTCCTGCGATGTGGGGACTGGCCAGAGTGTACACAGTTGGGTTTTCCCCTGACCTGAAGCACACCCAGTAGTTTGCAACTGTTGTCAGGCGGCCGTCACAGCCATATGAGATTATAGTCTGCTGAAATTTGTCCTAAAAATTCCCAAATTTACACGGAGATGTCCCATCGTTCCTGTTGCCAGTTGCCCTCTTTAGAAAAGTGGTGCTTGGTGTACTGACATGCCTCCCACATGCTGATTCGGGCCCTGGGAACGCCTCCTGTTTTCCCCAACACTTGGAAGGATGGAGGTGCAGCCTGCCGGGGAGGCACTCGCCTTCTGACCTGCAGAAGCACTGGACCTGGGGGCTCGGCTGGGGGTCCTGGCCTGCTCACGTGTTGGATCTGCTGCACCTGTGGGACGTGGCCCCTTTTTGTGCAGCTCGTTAGAGCTCTCGGGTAAAAGCATTCCGCGATTCTGCTGATGCTCAGGAGTGCTGACGGTCGCTTCTTTTTTCCTTTGTATTTTGAAGGAAGCGCAACAGGAAAGGAGAGAAGAATGGCAAGGGCCTGCGGCATTTCTCCATGAAGGTCTGCGAGAAGGTGCAGAGGAAAGGGACCACTTCCTACAACGAAGTGGCGGACGAGCTGGTTGCGGAGTTCAGCGCTGCCGACAACCACATCTTACCAAACGAGTCGGTAAGTGTGTGCCGGGGGGCTCGAGAGGCTGAGTAGCCAAACCTGACAGTGTGGCACGTTTTGCCCTTTTAAAATTGGGAACAGTTAAAAACATACAGAAAATTCCAAGTACAGCACGAAAGAATTTTTCCCAACCCATTTGCTGGCAGGATGCTTTGTCATCTCTGGTGAGTGAGCACGTGGGCTGACTTTGCCTGTCCACTGGCTTCCCCTGCCCAGAAATGCAGTAACGCCCTCCTCACCCGCTGGGCTCCACCCTCGACGGCCCCCAGCTCCCCTCCTGGCACACACTCGGGCTTTGCACAGCCCTGTCTCGGCCTGCGTCATCCGTAGGGTGGGAGCGCTCCCCGAGGACATGTTGGGGTGACAGCTCCATGAGCGGGGTGCCCCTTTAAGCCAGTGCACGTGGCCTCCAGTTTCAGATGGGATCCACAGGCTTTTTTGGATCATTTGGAAGCTCCACTCCCTGTCATCCGCAGGCTTATGACCAGAAGAACATAAGACGGCGCGTCTACGATGCCTTAAACGTGCTGATGGCCATGAACATCATCTCCAAGGAGAAGAAGGAGATCAAGTGGATTGGTCTGCCCACCAACTCGGCTCAGGAATGTCAGAACTTAGAGGTGCCCCTTCAACCTTCATGTTCCCTCTGGTCTGTGTAGATGTTTTTGTCGTTGGTCACTCAGTCGGGTCTGGGCTCCGTGCCCTTGTGCTCTATGTGTCTGGCTGGCAGACGGTCATGTAGACAGACATCTCCCTGCGATTCTCAGTCTCGGCTGTCGGGAGGGAGTGTGGCTGGCCCAGACCCGCTAGAGCGTGTTAAACTCTACTGTAGGTTAATTCTGAATCCTAGTTTGTGGGATTTTTTTTTCTTTTAGATACCATAGTTAAATCCAAGAAATGAGAGGGGAGAAGGTATAGTTTACAATCAAAGAAAAACTCACCTGTATCTTGTAGCACCTGCTATGTCTAGATTTGTCCATATCCTTTCGATTAAATTCAAGGTAAACATAGGTAACACTGTGAGGATGTGGATTTTAAAATACGCTGTATGGAGCAATTGTGATGATTCTCCACTTGGGTGGTTTGTTTTTGAAGGTGGAAAGACAGAGGAGACTTGAAAGAATAAAACAGAAACAGTCTCAACTTCAAGAACTTATTCTACAGGTAAGAGAATACTTTGGAGGCGGGGTAATTTTTATTTTACTTATTTAGTTTTATAACAGCAACATACCACCTTGGGTTACACTCCTGTGTGGTAAATGAAATGACTGCTTTAAGATTCTGAATGTGAATTTCATGAACATTCCTTGAGTTCATCTCATGGGTGTGGCAACGTGGGCCTGGTTCCCAGAGCGAAGTTGTGCTTGTACATGCGTGTGTGTGTGTGCCTGTGTGTGTGTGCCTCTGTGTGCATGCGTGTACGTGTGCGTATGTGCATGTATGCATTGTGTATATGTGCATATCCCTTGTCACAGTGTCTAAACAGGCAAAACACAGCTGGAGGGATGACTTCATGCAAAAGCAGCATTTGGAAAATCCCCTCAGAGGTGCTTAACTCAAGGCCCAGGCGACAGGCGAGGCCTCTAAAACTGTGGTGGGCACTGTGCACCTGGGTCTTGACAGTGCTGGTCAGGGCCCTGGAGCTGGCCTCCCCTACCTCCCATTGATTGCTGAGGGTGGGGGGCACCCCTGGGGATCCCGTGTCTGGTGTGGAGGGGGTTGTATGCAAGATGCTCGCTGTAGAGCTGGCTGCTGCCCTGACAGAGGTGTGCTTAAGCCCTCCCAGAGGGGACGGTGTGGCGGCCGTGGTGATGGAGGCTCGTGGGTGGGAGCTCCTTGGGGGCTGCGGAGACTGTCAGGAGGGATGGTTCTGCCTGCTAGTGTCCTAGTGCCTGCCAAGCGGGGTGAGACCCAAGGTGGCTGGGAGCGGAAGGGATTCTCCTGGCTCTACATTAAAGCAGGGAAGCTCTTTCCAAGTGGAACACTTGGTTTGGGGCCCTGAGGCCCTGGTCCTAGGTTCAGCCTTGCAGGGCCCATTCTTCCCGAGAAGCACCTCTGCAGCACACGGGCTGTTTCGTGTTCCACTTTCCGGGGTGGGCGAAGTTCTCAGCACAGCACCCCCTCCAAGGCTGTCACCCCATTGGTGCCACGGGTGTGGGTGGTCTCAGAGGTGAAGGACAGCAAGGAATTGACTTCCAAGATTGGTGTTTAGTTGAGCGCCCTTGCCACAGAGGATGCCTTCATCCGAGGCACGGATGGCCACGCGCCTGCTCTCGCCCAGTTCTCCCCTCAGGATGCCATTTCCTGAGTGCGTTTCTCCAGGGGTTGCAGGGGTCAGCACTTAGCGGCTGGCGCTGGCCTTTCAGATGTCCAAGCCAACTCCTCGCTGTTGCGTGGGCACAGGGAGGGCTGTGAGGACCCCTTGAGCACAGGGGCTGTGTTCTTGTGCCGCCATGTGCCACTTGGCTCCTCTTTATTTAGCAAATTGCCTTCAAGAACCTGGTGCAGAGAAACCGGCACGCGGAGCAGCAGGCCAGCCGGCCGCCGCCGCCCAACTCGGTCATCCACCTGCCCTTCATCATCGTCAACACCAGCAAGAAGACTGTCATTGACTGTAGCATCTCCAATGACAAGTAGGTTGTGGGCAGGGAGACGTTCCCTGGCTGTGCATGTCTTTTTGAGGGTGCTGACCCTGTTGGGATTGTCCCTAGGACAAGTTTTAAATTTTGCACAAATTGCTGGGGTTGCTGTCCATCATGGGGCGGTGGGAGGCAGCCGCCGGGCAGCAGGTGGCAAGTCTGTGTCCCAGGAGCGCATGCCTTAGGGCGTGTCCTCCTGGAGAGAATGAGCCTTGATTTGCTTCTTATCTCATTTACTTCTGAGTTTATAAGTTCTATGAGGAGATGCCGATGACTGGGAACCTGAAGGCTGTGTGTGGCGGGCAGCAGGTCAGCTGTCCTGGCTCCACGCTGGCATGCAGTCTCTCTGCTGGGAGACCCTGTCTTTCTGACTGTGCCTTTCCCCTTCAGATTCGAGTATCTGTTTAATTTTGATAACACATTCGAAATCCACGATGACATAGAAGTGCTAAAGCGGATGGGCATGGCGTGCGGGCTGGAGTCCGGGAGCTGCTCTGCTGAAGACCTTAAAATGGCCAGAAGCCTGGTCCCAAAGGCCCTGGAGCCGTACGTGACAGGTCAGCGGTTCCCAGACAACCCGGTGTGAGGAATGGGCCCAGCCTCGGATGGCTCCCTCCCCTCCTGGCTCAGGGCATGTCTTGCTGAGATTGACAGAGGGCCTGGAGCAAAGACAGAGGGGCTATGAGGGGCATGGGGGTGGGGTGCGGCTGGGGCGGGGTCCAGCCAGTGCCCTCACTTGCTGGATACGGGGCCTTGAGTCTTCAGGAGGCTTGTGTGGATTTCCCTTGTGGTGCCACAAGGAGGAGGTGCTAAGTCAGGATTTTACCCTCCAAGTAGGCCCAGAAGTAGGAGAAGCTGCCGGGCGCGGTGGCTCAAGCCTGTAATCCCAGCACTTTGGGAGGCCGAGGCGGGTGGATCACGAGGTCAAGAGATCGAGACCATCCTGGTCAACATGGTGAAACCCTGTCTCTACTAAAAATACAAAAAATTAGCTGGGCATGGTGGCACGTGCCTGTAATCCCAGCTACTCAGGAGGCTGAGGCAGGAGAATTGCCTGAACCCAGGAGGCGGAGGTTGCGGTGAGCCGAGGTCGCGCCATTGCACTCCAACCTGGGTAACAAGAGCAAAACTCTGTCAAAAAAAAAAAAAAAAAAAAAAAAAAAAAGAAGTAGGAGAAGCTGAGATTCTTTGAGGAGTGCAGTTGGATTGCTGATCCGGCCCACCCCCCGCCCCCTGATGGTAGCTGATTGGTCACTAGGGCAAAGTGACCAAGAAAAAGCATTTTAGCATCATTGGCGGCCTTCTCTGGAGGGCCGGGAGCACGGGAGCTTTTGTTGAAGGGACTTTTTATCTGGTTCTGGTGAATTCTTTCCTTGGGGCCATAGGGTCCCAGCCTACTGACAACAGGGTGGCTTTAAGGCGAGAAATTGTGAAGGTGCTGTATCTGCTAATCCTTTTCTTGTCGGCCTAAACTTTGGGTGTGGACTTACTCCCCGAGAGGGTCAGAGATTCCTCCCTGAGCTCCTAAACCGTCCCAGGTCTTGTGAAAATCTGGCTGGTCCATATCGTCAGCTGACAGTAGGGTCTGGCTGCCCATGTGGGCTGGGCCCTGACCCGCCCTCTGTCCGGTGCTCCATGGAGCTGCCAGGATGGGCTGTAGGAAGAGGGTGTCAGCTTACTCCTTGATCGTCCTCATCATGCTGGTTATGATACTGACATAGCAGCACATATGTGCTGTTTGTAAGTCAGTGCGTGCAGGTATTGCAAGGCTGTTCATGCCTTTTTAGGGAAGACAGGCTATGTGACTGCACAGCGGGTTGTCCTCTGTGGCACAGTGCAGAAAATACTGGACAAGTGAAGGATGTCTGGAAGCTTCCCCAGCTGTCCGTCCTGCGGCACTGCGTGTCATTTTGATGGTTGTCTGTGTGTCTTGTGTTGTGTCTGTTTTATGACCATTGGCTTTATTTTCTTTCCTTTTTCAGAAATGGCTCAGGGAACTGTTGGAGGCGTGTTCATCACGACGGCAGGTTCCACGTCTAACGGCACGAGGTTCTCCGCCAGGTGACAGCGGTTGAGGGTGTGGGAGAAGCATTGTCTGGGCCTCCCGTGGGGCCCAGGGGCCAAGGCAGGGTGGCCGTCTCAGATATGGCCATCAGGTCCGAGGCTGCTCCGCCGTGCTTGTCTGTCCAGGCAGTGGGGCCCCACCGGCTTTCCCTGTGTGGAGAGCTGCTTTTCTTACTTGGTTTCTCCTCACTAAAAACTAGAAGTAATACATGGTGGTGGTTTTTTTTGTTAAAGTATCACCTAAAAAGTAAAGTAGGAATGAAAGCCACCCAAATCCTTCTGTCCTGGGCAGCCCAAGTAACAGCAAGTATTTCTAGGTTTTTTCCTCCTATTTTTCAGAACACGTCTGTGGTCACAGTGCATTCATTTTTCAGAACGCGTTTGCAGTCATGGCGCATGTATTTTTCACAGTGCATCTGCGATCACAGCACACATATTTTTCAGAACGCATCTGCAGTTACAGTCCACGTATTTTTCAGAGCAGTCATAGTGCACATATTTTTCTGAATGCATCTGTGGTCACAGCGCATGTATTTTTCAGAACATGTTTGTGGTCACAGCGCACATATTTTTCAGAATACGTTTGTGGTCACAGCACACATATTTTTCAGAACGCATCTGTGGTATGCACATTACACATAATTTTCAGAACACAACTGTGGTCAGAGTGCACATATTTTCTTACATGCATTTTTCACCTTACATTTTATTGTATTAATATATATTATTTCTGTGCTATTAAAGGGCCTTTATTTAAATAAATTTGTATTTAATCTTTGACCTGCAATCCCATAGGGTAGAATGATATCCCTAGTTATTTATCTTAGTGCTTCAAAGAGAAATACAGCTTTTATGATAAATATTAACAAAACCAAGATTTTATTGACTTTCATATTGTATTGTGATACAATATGTAGTATTACTTTATATTAATGGTAAGTTCATAAAATCTTTAATTGGAAATATAAGAACTTAGTAACCTGTGGGTCCGGATAACAGGGCACTGCGTAGTGAGTTGCAGTGCGCGTGAGCCTGTGTTGGCATGTGCTGTGGCCATGAGATGTAGCAAGTGTGTCAGGGGCGCATGTAGCTTCCTGGCCAGCTCTGGGGTTACAAAGCCAGTGTCTGCCAGCCTTGGCCTCACCTGTAAGGCGAGACTGGTGATTGATGAGTCATTGATCTGTGGCAAGGATCAGTGAAGTGGTGATAGAAGAAGGTACTCGTCACAGTGCCTGGTAACAAGCTTTTGACCGAGGCCGGTTTTCTTTCTCTTCAGCTGTGTGTGAATGTGTAGGGGTCAGTGTGTAAACATGTTTAACATTGGTTCTTCCATGAGGTGGAATGTGGGTATTTTTAGGACTTTCATCATCAGATAATCCTTTTTATGGATGTGATTCTCAGACTTGTCAGTTTTTCATAACAATGGAAACAAAGCTATGACCATTTCTTATGAAATACCAATTTTCAAAGTGGCATGATGGGACATTTTATGAAAGTACCTCATGAAAGGACATCTAGGTAGTTCCCAGTTATCAGGAAAACTACAGTGAGCAGCTTTGTGGCTGAATTTCTCACCATTTCTGACTTGTTTCTACTTCATCAAAGGCATATTGACTCATTTTTATTGTAGTTAATAAATACCATTAAAATGTATTAAAATATATGCATATATTTTTATGCAGTTGGAAAACATTTTTAAATGTTAGGACATCGTGAGCTGTGATTAGTGGTAGGTTTTTGTGGTGCTGCAAACCCTCTGGGTTCCCAGTCCACGCTGCCAGATTCCAGCCATGCTCCGGACTTCATGCTGTCCTGCCCCAGGCTCTCTTTTTCTCCTGTTGCTGGTTATGAGTGAAAGTCCTGGAGGGAGGAATCTAATGGTTTTACAGTTCATTGCCTCCGGGGCACTGCTCCTGATGGAATGAGTGAGGGAGAGGGAGCTTGTGGCTCTGCTCAGCCTCCTATTTCTGGCATTGTGGATTCCAGGAGACAGGGTCAGAAGAGAACCAGACGGGGATGGAGTGAGTGCTGGCGTGCTGTAGTGCAGACACTCACAACCTCCCAGTTCTGTGTGTGTGACTGACAAAACCCACACCTGTGTGGCATAGCCTGTCCTTTGGCCACAGGCCCTGAGGTGAGGGGAGGCTCTGTGGTGAGTGGGCCACTCTGCACTGACTGCCTCATCCGCCTCCTGCCTTGCAGTGACCTGACCAACGGTGCAGATGGGATGCTGGCCACAAGCTCCAACGGGTCTCAGTACAGTGGCTCCAGGGTGGAGACCCCAGTGTCCTACGTCGGGGAAGACGACGAGGACGACGAGGACTTCAATGAGAATGACGAGGACGACTGACATCCTCCCCACTTCAAATTCAGCTTCAGGAAAACGTTTAGGGAAAAGAAACTTTTTTTTTTTAATGTGGGTTTTCTGTTTCCTTTTGGCCTACTCCCAAGAAGATATTGGTAAGCTATTGAATTTAGATATGCACCTCTGATAAGCAAGGATTGTTTCCCGTAGGATTAGGACGTGCTGTGGATGTGTGTTTTGATACCAGTGTGCTGATGCAGAGCATTTATTTACTTTTTAGGATTTTGTGTTTTCATTTTTCTGGTTTTCTCTAAGTGCAGAGTTCATTTTTGCCCCTGAACAGTTTTTGCTGAGTCTGCTGAAGAAATTGTATTTCATCCACATCCATGAAAATAAAACACCCTCCTGTGGTGGATGGTAAGAACCTGATGCCATTTATTTGCCGTGAGTTTGGACGGCACCCCCGCTGGTGGATAGCAGGACTCTGTGGAATGTTCCGTTTGTTCAGTGGTACGGTGTCCAGAGCCCCAAGCAAACAGGAGAATTCGACTTTCTAAACAATAAACTTCATCAACCTTATTGACTTCATTTTCCCTTAAATTATATTGACTGTTGTGATTCCATCAAGCTTATAAACTCTTTTCTCTCCCTATTTGCAGCAACAAATTGCAAAGTGCTTTTGTTTGTTTTTTGTTTTGTTTGGTTAAGGCTTATTGCCACGCTGGTGCAGCTATGGAGACTGTCTGGAAGGCTTGGAATGGTTTATTGCTTATGGTAAAATTTGCCTGATTTCTTACAGGCAGCATTTGGAAACCTTTTATTATATAGTTGTTTACATACTTATAAGTCTATCATTTAAAAACATGTACTGACAAAATAAAAAAATAAAATAAAATAAAAACATGTACTGAAACAAATGTTGTATTTGTTTCATAAGCATCTTCCTGTAATCTATTATAAAATTGAAATTAAATATAGAGAATGTTTTAACAATTTTTTAACTCAAAATTTGTCAATCATTTTTAATAGTTCTTTTTTTATAAAAGAAAAAGGAATTTAAGGACAGGCAGTAGTCTCTTTTAAAGTTTATTCACAAAACCCATTAACTGCACAGTTGCTGTTAGCTGCCTGTTCTGAAACGATAGTCTTTTTATTGAAACACAAATAAACTTTTCTGTAATATTTTATGGAATATAAAGAGACTTTAATTGTTTGACTTGTTTAACTTGGCACTGTTAGTTTTTATTAATAAAACGCGCATGGGCATTTTAAACAAGCTGTGTTTCTCTAATTCAGGATTATTGTCTAGAAATTTGTCTGTCTTGTTGGTCTTACTTTATACTTGAGTGAGAAACTAGGTTGTTATTAGGCCCAGACACGGTGGGTCCGGGTGGTCCCTGTGGGCACACCCCCCCCAACCAAATTTGGTCAGAAGCACATCTTCCAGGAGTCCACCCTGAAGGTGGAGAGTGGCCAAGGGTGGAGGTCTTGGATACAAGGAAAGGAGGAGGCACCTTTTTTGGTGCCTGTGGTGCAGAGAAAGATAAGCCAAGTTCCTTGGCTTTTTTTCACAATGAAAATTGAGACTTAAAAATTTAGAAGTTTGACTTTCAGAACAAGAATAAGATTGAGAGGCTTCTGAGAAGATGGTGGAATAAGGAAGCCAGGAATCTGACGTCTACCTCGCAAGCAGGATCTGCTGGATGCAGCTGTTCTGTAACTACGGAATCTACCAAAGGCTTAAAGCTTCCAAGGGAGCACGTGGCAGTTAATTTTGGTCAGTTTCATCCTGTTCCTTCATTTTTCTCTTTCTCCTTCTGGGAGCCAGACATTGAAGACTAGGACGTACAAAAATAGCTGTGCATACGGGGCTGCCCAGGGAGACGCTCAGAAACGGCCTGAGAAGACCTTAGGTTTACATCTCAGGCTGAACCATGGCACAGGTACAGCCTAGAGCTATCAAAAAGACAATAAACAAAGCAGTAACAAAAATGGCAAATCCAAGGGAACAGGAGAACTCTTTTCAGAGTTTTACCACAGTGATAGATTCAGATGTCTGGTTGTCAACAAACAAGGCATACCAAGAAATAGCAAAGTATGGCCCATTTAGAGGGAAAAAAAAAAAAAAAAAAAAAAAAACTGTCCTTGAAAAGGATCTGTTGGCAGATACACTAGACAAATACTTTTAAACAACTGTTTTAAAGATGCTCAAGGAAGTCAAAGAACATGTGCAGAAAGTCAAGAAGATGGTAAGAGCCTAAGAGTCCTGCGGGACACCACCAGGCTGACCAGTGCACGCGTTGTGGGGTCTATGAAGGAGAAGAGAAAGAAAGGTGCAGAGAGAATATTTGAAGATAATAATGGTTGAAAATGCACCAAGTTTAATAAAAGACATGAATATAAACATCCAAGATGTCCCATGAACTCCAAGTAAGGTGAACTCAGAGATCCACACCGAGACATATTATTATTAAGCTTTTGAAAGACAGAGGATGTTGAAAGCAGCAGGGGAGGAGCAACTCATCACATAAAAGGGGCTCCCAATAAAATTATCCAGAGTTTTCATCAAAAACTGGAGACTACAAAGCAGTGGGCCAGTATATTCAAACTGCTAAACGAAAAACAATAAACTGTGTACCAAGAATCCTACAGCTGACAAAACTGTCCTTCAAAAGTGAGGGAAAAATTAAGACATTCCCGGATAAATAAAAGCTGAGGAAGTATGCTGTCACCAGACTTGCCCTGCAAAAAATGCTTAAGGGGGTCCTGCAGAGTGAAATGAAAGAACAGTAGACAGCAGCTTGAAGCCAAATGAAGAAATCCAGATCTCACTAAAGGTAAATATGTGGGCAATTATAAAAGCTAGTATTGTAAGAATAGGTTGTAACTCTACTTTTTGTTTTTTACATGATTTAGGATACTAATGCATTTAAAAGAAGTATTTCTTTTTGAACACAGAATGTACTAAAAGGTAATTTTGTGATATCAGCAACCTAAAGGGTTGGGAAACGAGCTTTAAAGGAGAATTGTTTACGCCATTGAAGGTAAGCTGGTACAAATTCAGATTAAAGTGTTATAACTTTAGGGTGTTAAATGCAACCACTGCAGAGAAAATCACTGTAGAATTTACAGAAAAGGAAATGGGAAATGAATGTAAACATTAGCTACAAGAAGCCAACTTAAGACAGTGATTCAAGAAATGAGAGGCAAAAAAAAGCTAAAAAGCTATAGGGCATATGGAAAAATATATGCCAAATATTTTGCACATATTATATGCAAAATAACAAGTCTTTATCAGTAATTGTTTTAAATGTAAATGGATTAAATTCTCCAAAAGACAGTGGATAAAAGCATGTGATCAACCTACACTTTGTCTTCAGAGTACTCAGTTTAGGTGCAGAGATGAATAGGTTAAAGTGAAAGCATGGGAAACAGATGTTCTATATACATAGTCTCCAGAAGAGAGCAGTAATATCAGACAAAATAGACTAAATTTTAAAAATTACAAAAGACAAAGGACATTATATGTTAAATTAAGCTTCAATACATTGAGAACATAAAAACATTTAGACACCCTAATGACAGACCATCAAGACATATGAAGCAAAAACTAACAGAATTGAAGTGAGAAATAGCTCTTTAATTATAGTTGGAGATTTCAGTATAGCACTCTCAACCAGACAGAAAAGTCAGGAAATAGAGTATACAACAAGCCAACTAGATCTCAGACATGAATATACAGAACACCCCCCAACAACAGCATACACTCTCTTCTCAGATTTCCCTGGGACATTTTCCTAGATACAGATTCAGTCTCAGTAGATTTAACAAGATAGATAACATGACAAGTATCTTTTCAGACTGCAGGAGATGAAGTTAGAAATCAATGACAAAACGGGAAAATTGACAAAATTATGGAAATTAACCAGTGCACGCCTAAACAATGAAAGAAGAAACCATAGGGAAGATTACAAAATACTTCGAGGAAACCAACTTATGAGATGTGGCGAAAGCAGTGATAACAGAGATTTATAGCTATAAACGCTTACATTAAGAAACAAGAAAGATCTCAAAATCAACGGCCTAACTTTACAAGTTCAGGCACCACAAAAATCAAACTAAACTGGTAGTGAGTAGAAGGAAGAAAATTTAATAAAAATCAGACCAGAGCCAAGATTAGAGAACAGAAAAACAATGGAGATCAAGAAACCAAAAAGTGCTTAGGTGAATAAAGTGGCAAACTTTTAGTTAGGTTTACTAAGAAATATTTACATTGCTAAAATCAAATGAAAATGGGAACATTTCTAGTGGCTCTACAGAAATAAGGATTATGAGAGAATAATAGGAACAATTATATGTCAAATTAAAAAACCTAGATGAAATGGACAAATTCCTAGAAACAAAACCTACCCAGATTTAATCAAAATAAGTAAAAGTCCGAATAGACCTTTGACTAGTAAGGAGATTGAATCAGTCCTTTAAAATCTCACTCTGAACCTAGTGGCTTCCCAGGTGAATCCTACCAAACATTTGAAGAATGTTTTTCCAGTCCTCAAGTTTTTCCAAAAAATTGAAGCGATGGGAACACGTTCTGATTAATTCTGTGAGGCCACCATTAATACCCCGATATCGAAGTCAAAGACACCACAAGTACAGAATACCTACATGCCTGAGGGGCATTGATGCAGAAATCCTCAACAAAATACTGGCAACGTATTTAAAAGATCATACAGTGTAAATATGAGCAGCGTATTTAGAAGATTATACATCATGACTTGGTGGAATTTATTTTTGGAATGCAAAGATGTTTTGACATAAAATTAATTGTAGTAAACACATGAACAGAATGAAAAAAATGATCATCTCAATATTTTATTAAAAGCTTTTTTTTATTAGGGATGAGATCTTGCTTTGTCGCCTGGAGTGGATTACAGTGGCATGATCGTGCCTCCCTGCAGCCTGGAACTTGCTGGGCTCCAGCTTCTATCCTATGCCCTCAAGTAGCTGGAATGACAGGTGCCAGGCTAATTTTTTGATTTTTAATTTTTTTGCACAGACAGGGTCTCTGTGTTGCCCAGGCTGGTTTTGAACTCCTGGCTCAAGTGATCGTCCCACTTTGGCCTCCCAAAGTCCTTGGATTACAGGTGTGAGCCACTGTGTTCAGGTGTAGTCATCTCAATTGATGTAGAAAAAGTATTTCATAAAATTCAGCATCCTTTTATGACAAAAAGAACCAACTAGGAATGAAACTGCTTCAATATAGTTAATGTCACATATGAAAAACTCAGAGAGAGAACATCAAGGTGAAAGACTGAAAGCTTTTCCTCTAAGATCAGGAGCAAGGCAGAGATGCCCACCCTGGCCTTTTCTATTCAACATAGTATTGGAAGTTACTAGCGAAGCAGTTATGTGAGAAAAAGAAATACAAGGCATTCACATCTGAAGGGAAGAAGTAAAACCATCTCCATTTGTTGGTGATGTGATCTTATATGCAGGAAATCTGAAAGAATCCACTAAAAAACTATTAGAACTAGCAAAGTTTACGGGATGTAAAGTAAACAGGAAAATCACTTGTGTTTCTGTACACTAACAATGAAAATCTGAAAAGGAAATTAAGAAAATAATTCCATTTACAATAGCATCAAATAATGAAATACTTAGGAATTAACTTGGTCACAGAGGTGAAAGACTTATACAATGAAAATGACAAGACATAGTTAAGAGAAATGAACAAATGCAAACGCACCCCATGGTAATGTATTAGAACACAATATTGTTGAGATGTCAACACTACCCAGCTTAATCTGTAGATTAAATGCAATCCCTGTCAAAGTCCCAGTGATTAGTTTTTCAGAAATAAAATCCTAAAATTCATACGGAATCTCAAGTGACCTCAACCCCTACAATCTTGAAGCACAAAGCTAGAGGACTCACACTTCTGGTTTCAAAACTACAAATCTCTAATGACAGACCTACAGACTAAAGGAATAGAATAGAGAGCCCAGCCAAAGATCCTCACATGTTTGGTCAAGTGATTTTTGACAAGGAAGCCAAGACCATGCAGCAGGGAAAGGGCAGTCTTTTCAGAATATAAAGCTTAAGACGGTCAAACTCTTATAAGAAAACGTGGAGCGGCTGGGTGCAGTGGCTCACTGCTCTAGTCCCAGCACTTTGGGGGGCCAAGGTGGGTAGATCACTTGAGGTCAGGAGTTTGAGACCAGCTTGGCCAACATGCTTCAAGCCAAATGAAGAAATCAAGATCTTAGTAAAGGTAAATATGCGGGCAATTATAAAAGGTAGTATTCTAAATCTAGTATTGTTTCTACCTAAAATACAAAAAACTAGCCGGCAAGATTGTATCACCTGTAGTCCCAGCTACTCGGGAGGCTGAGGCAGGAGAATTGCTTGAACCCAGAAAGTGAAGGTTGCAGTGAGCCAAGATCGCACCACTGCACTCCAGTGGGTGACAGAGTGAGACTCTGTCTCAAAAAACAAAAGAAGAAAACAGCAGAAGCTTCAGGAAGGCATTGGATTGGGCCGAGATTTTTTTGGATGTGACACCAAAGGCACAGGCAAAAATCAACAATGTGGAGTTTATGAAAATCTAAACCTTTCTTGCATCAGAAGACAATGTCAGCAGAGTGGAAAGAGACCCCATGGAATGGGAGAAGCAGTTCCTGTATCTGGTAGGGGATTAATATCCAGGATCTATAGAGAACTCTTAAAACTCAATGACAAAACAACCTGATAGGCATTTCTCCAAAGAAAAATCTATGACTGGCTTATAAGAACATGAAAAGGGGCTCAATGTCACTGTCATGAAGGCAACATAGATTAAACTATGAAATAGAAAATAAGCACCAATGAGGATATGGAGAAATCAGAGCCCTGGACGCTATTGGTGGGATGTAAAGAGGCAGCCGCTTTGGAAAACTGAATGGCTGTTCTTCACAGAATTAAAAATAGAATTACCCCGTGGACGGCAATTCTGCTCAGTGCGTTTATCCAGAGACGTTTGTACACCCACATCCACATGCACCACTGCAGGACAGCTACACACGGGAGGCACCTGCAGTGTCCATCCGTGGATGAGTGGGCAAAGTGTGGTGTGTACGGACAGCAGAATCTTATTCTTTGAAAGGAAATCCTGTCACACTACAACACGGATGCCCCGTGACTTTATACTAAGTGAAATATGCCAGAAATGAAAAGACAAATACTTGCTTATGTGAGGTACTTAGAGTCGTACGGAGACAGGAAGTTGAATGGTTGCCAGGAGCTGAGGGAGAGGGGTGGGGAGTGAACGTTGCATGGGGAGGGGCCTTCCCTTTGGAAGGGTTCAGCTGTCTGGAGGGGGACAGCGGTGGCGCCTGCAGCACCCTGTGAACGTGCCCAACACCACCGAACCACGCACGTAAAAATGTTTAAGACGGCAAATTTTATGTATATTTTACCACAATGAAAAATTGGAAAGACATTTTGCAAAGTAGGAAGGAGAGCTGAGTGCTTTGAGTTGGCTAAATAAATCACTGAAAGTTCCAATACAAGACTAGTTTTTCAAGAGTCGCTTTTGCAGAAGGAGGTGGAAACGTGTCCTTTCTTCCTAATCCTGATTTACCATAAGCATCTTGAGGGTTGTGGAACTTACATAACACAGCGGGCAGCCGTGCCTCAGAGCGCTTCGTGTGGGCGCATGTGCATCCAGCACCTGTGTGTGTGTGGTGGCTTCCGTGGCGAGCTTCCTGTGCCTGTCTTCCTTCCCAGCCTTGGAAGGAGTTGAAACTCGGGGCTGCTGATTCGGAAGGAGTAGGGGTGGGAGCAGCCCCTGGCTTCATGAGGAAGGGGCTCTGACCGGGCACGGGGGCGCCCCTGTGGGCAATATTGCTGGAGTCCAGTTCAAGGCCAGCCTGGGCAGTGTAGAGAGACCCTGCCCCTAAAGAAAGAATGGGGCCCAGTGTCCATGGAGAGCCTGGGGAGGGAGGCAGAGGCCAGGGTTCTGTGAGGGCCTGGAGATGGGGGCTCTGGGTGGCCGTGAGAATGCGGCAGGCATGTTGGTTCCAGCTGGGTTGACTTTGAGGGTCTCGTAGGATGAACCCTCCTGGCTCCACCATCACTTTGAGGTAGCCTCACTCTGACCTCTGACCTTCAGCATGGCATGACCTTTCCGAGGTGACCCAGGTCTCCCACACGTCAGCCTGCCTGTTCTTAATACACAGTTGAGGGCTGCGTTCATTGGAACGTTCTGGGGTCACCGCCCACCTCATTTCTGTGCCTGGCAGCACTGTTTTACTCCTGGTTGGGAGCATGGCCGCCTCCCGGTTCAGCTTCCTTCCGTGTCCCTGGTGAGTGGGGCCGCTGCCCTTGAGGACCCTGGGCTCACAGCCAACCTGGCTGGCACAGCCGTCCTTTCCCAAGCTGCCCTCGGGTGAGTCAAGCACTTCTGCTTCCCGGGTTCCGGAAAGAACTCTGCACTGACTTCTCAAAGGCAAAATACAACTCAGGCTTCAGTGTTCAGTGCATAGCCCCAAATTTCCTTCTTTTTCTATGAATCTTCACTGCCCAGCATGATGGATGGGCCTGGGCTCCTGCCCCTCCCACAGGCACCGGGGACTAAGCCGAAGGGCACCGTGTCTTCCGGGCTGGTGTCTCGACGCCCGGCCACCGCCCCATCTCAGACATCCCATGGCAGCCATGCTTCCGCCAGCCAGCGGCGTCACCTGCATACAAGCTGCCCTCTGTTCCGGAAGCACAGACCGTGCGTGTGGCCACGCGTCCGTGACGTAAACTCACGTCTGCGCCAAGACGTTTGCGGACAGCTTCTTGTTGATGGAGTAGGCAGTGGAAGATGTTGTCTTCCATCAGTACATTGATTTAGTTAACCTGACAACACATCTACGAGGTTTTTAATCTTTCCTCAGAGACCGTTTTTCATGGACTTTCTGTGTCTGTTGGGGTGTTGGATTTCGATGTGCCAGTTGCTTGTGCTTGAGCCCTTTGGGCACTAATAGCCACACTGCTGTGTGTGTGAAATTGGGACCCAAGCCTCACACTGCCATCTGGGTGGGGAGCCCGTGGCCTTTGGTGATGGCATTGGGACCCGGCCCTCACACTGCCGTCTGGGTGGGAAGTCTGTGGCCCTCAGCAAGGCCACGTTTGCTTGTTTGGGAGAGTGTTCTCATTTCAGTTTTTTAAGAGGATTAGAGTTGCTAACTTAACATTTATATTTATATTTGGAGGAAAGACTTGTCCTTGGTGAATGAGAAGTGTTTGTAACTAGTTGGGTTTTAAACTCCTGTCAGGCTGACCACACCCTCACTCCCCACTGTTTGCCTCCTGGAGCTGCGAGCGTCTTTAGGTGACAACCCCACCCCAATACGGTTTTTGTAATTTCCATGACTTGGAACTGAGACTTTCAGATGGAGATTTTTAAGGAAGGATTTGTTTTTTAGTTAATTTTTCTCCCATATCAGGAACCACATGACTTTTTTTTTTTTTTTAGATACAGTAACTTTAATATATTTTATTTTACAACTTAGGAATTGCAATTTTAAAAGAAAGAACTCAGAATGTCATTAGTGTAAGCCGTGTTTCATATCAGTGTATCAATAGTTTTTATATTAATGTGGGGGCAGTTCATATTGAAGTATAGAAAAATAAATTATAGTAAGAAAGTGATGTCTACATAGGAAAAGGCAAATTGATTTATGATCTGGTTAATTAGACAGTTGCTGCCTTGGCATTCCCGTGTTGGCTGGACATTCTTATAGCAGCAAATTCCATCTAAAAACGGTGAGAATTCAGTAAGGAAGAACGGATGCTCGAGGGCAGGCCCTTCCCGTGTTGGCGCTTCTCTGGAGTTCCCACACTGACAGCGCCGTTGCTGCTCTAAACCGTTTTTGGGATGATGCGGCAGGAAGGGCATCCGTGAGCGACCCCGCAGGCTGTGCCCAGGACCCCTGCGCCCTGCGCACACTGTTCACTTCACAATCTTGAGTTTGAACTCCACTTTCCCTTCATACGGGTCATGGGGGTTGTCGAAGGTCACGTGCTCCGCCATGACCTTGCACACGATGGCAACCTGAGTGTTCCTGGGCACGTTGAGGAGCTTTGCTGCCACCAGAGGGTTGCTGTAGTGGGGCTGAAGTGGGAGTGCGGAAAGCAGAGGTGTTTCAAAAATCTCTGAAGTTAAGGAGAGAAAACTAAGCAAGGAAAGTGTCAACAGTCAGGCTGGTACAGAGAGGCAGCTCTTTTGGGTGAGGCTGGTCATGCCCTGGAATTTGCTGAGATAACACCTCCCTGCTTGAAAATGGGGAGGACCGGTCTGGAGGGCACAGACAATATCAAGAGTAAGTTCAGCTTCACACTATTATGATAGTTAACATAAAAATAAAACAGGTAAAGCATTTGGCATGGGGGAAAAGCTTTGAAGTGGATATGCAGTTGTTTAAAAGGATCTGGGAGATAGAAAAATTAGTCTGGGTGCAGTGGCTCACGCCTGTGATCCCAGCACTTTGGGAGGCTGAGGCAGGCTGATTGCTTGAGCCCAGGAGTTTGAGACCAGCCTGGGGAACATACTGAGACCCTTTCTCTACAAAAAATACAAAAATTAGCTGGGCATGGTCCTGTGTGCCTGTGGTCCCAGCTTCTCAGGAGGCTGATGTGGGAGGATTGCCTGAGCCAAGGAGGTTGAGGCTGTAGTGAGCTAAGATTGCCCTGCTGCACTCCACCCTGGGTGACAGAGTGAGACCCTCTCTCAAAAAAAAAAAAAAAAAAAAAGTAGAAGAGTTAGAGTTGCTTTTTTCACGTTGCTTGTGAGGAATGTTTCCAGGTAGATACAAGAACCAGGGCTTGGGAAACACACAGACCGTTCCACAGTCAGGACTGGCTGAGTCACGCCTTTTTGCTATTGCTTTCCTTTCGCTAAGTGTGGTGAGGGAAGCGTGGGAGGAAGGAGCCTACCTGGGCCTTCTTCCCATAGTAGGGGAAGTAGTGCAGACTGAAGGTGCCATTGGGAGGGTAATACACCACCTGCAGCGGCTGGCCGAGCTCGTGGGGCTGGTCCTGGGGAGGAGAGGCCACTGCCTGAGTCAGGGGAGCTGGCGTGTGCCCGTGTCTGTGTGCCTGCGTGTGTGCACACGTGTGCCATGTAAGTGCTTACATAAACACTTTATTGCGTAATGAGCGTAAATCAGATTCAATGTTTATAATCAGTGCCGAGATCTCAGCAAGGATGTAATTTGTTAGCACCAGAATGCCCGGTGACCCCTCCAACTTGTGCTTCTAGTAACTTGAAGTCTTGGAAGGATGACCTATGTGGGTGAAGCTGGGAATTTGCTTGCTCGTCTACACTTGAGAATGGCCACTGTGAAGTGGCAAGTGCTGGTTTGCCCCACTGGGTTGCGAGCTGGTGTGAGTGGGACAAGCAAACCCCTGCCCCCCAGACCAAGAGTGGAGGCTTCGAGGGAAGTGAGGTTCCTGCAGAAACCCGAGTGGGAAGGCTCCACGCAGTGACGGACTCACGCTGTGAAACCTTTGCCTTTGGGTGTAATGGTGGAAGCAAACCTTAGAAAACATTTAATTTAAAAAATTTAGTTTTAAAAAATGTTGACCTAAAAAGCAGTTTTGAAAAACGCCTGGAATTAGCCTGAGATCAGTGCCAGCTCTTAGCAGTCTGAATACTAAACACAGTTAAACAGCTGTAGCTGCTGGCGAGATGGCATGTTTTTGTCAAGCAAATAAAAAGAACGGAACTGGGAGAAGTACACTGGCCTTTCCACGTCGCCGCCAGGCATTCTGCAACGTGCTGGTGATGTGCTGCCCAGATGATTTTGGAAGAAAACAGTAAGGAAAAAGCACCATTTTCCTTGCTGGGTTTTACCCCCCATGGTGGAAAAACATCACCTCACTCGCTGAGGTGATGTTTACGCCTGGTTTACTGGGCCAACAGCCGACACTCCTGGAGAGAACCAGGCAGGCCATGCCCAGTGTGGACCAGCGTGACCCTGACAAGCTCCTTTCCTGGGGTACCCCCGCCCGCCGAGCAGCTGTACTCACCAGGAAGGCACAGTCCACTCTGGGGGCCGAGCCGTTGCTGGGGAGGAACTTGACGATCTAGAAGGGAAAATCGTCAGTGTGCCCCCCCTTCCCATGTGAGGTGCAGCGGCGCCCACCTATGGAGCTGGGACCTGGCCGGCCCCAGCCTGGGCTTTCTGGCTGGGACTGAGAAGGGCCCTTGTCTGGTTTGTGGCTTCCCTTGGAGGAATCTTCATGGGTGTCACTAACTCATCATTCGGAGCCACAACCCTCCCCCCACCACCCATCGCCAGGCCGCTTGGCCCAGGCTGCAGGAGGCGGCTGGCGGCTGGCCGATCTGGGGGGCAGTCTTAGCCCTCCAACTGTGTCCAGGCCACCCTGCCTCACTGCAGGACTGGGTCCACCTCCTGCTCTGTGCAGCTCTTCTGGAAACCTCTCTCTGGCCCACTCCGGTCTCCAGCCCCCTTCCCCACACCCCATTCCTTGGCTTCTCCAGCTCCAGCCATCCATTCCCATGCTCCAAGGGGGGCAGCTGCCATGAGATGGGCACAGTGGCTGCCACACCCTGCTGGGACCCCTGTCACAGGCCCTCCATGCTGGCTGTGCTGAGACCCCAGCTGACAAAGGGGCCTGTGAGGTGTGGTAGGCACACGTGTACGGCCTCTTCAAAGGAAAAGGAACAGCGCAGCTGCCCGGAGGCCCAGCGCAGAGCTGCTGGTTGGTCCATGGAGTGGTGGCCCTAAGCCCCCTGCCAGGGATCACCTCCCCACACCCCAAGGGTCCCCTGGTTCCATGTTGGAAGACTGCTTTAGAAGGTGCCAAACCCCTCCCAGCCCTGGCTCTAAAACCTGAGGCCCCTTTACCCGGCCCTGGCGTCTCTGGCCGCTCTGAAGGGGCCCTGGCCTCATGGAGACCCCCATTCGAGCAGTTCCACATGTTCCAGAGGGCTGGCTATGTGCTGGTGTCTGATGAGCGGTTTTAAATTTGTATCTAAGAGCCAAACAGGATGGGTGCGTGCTGAACCAAGGTACAGGACGGTGAGGCCGGAGTCCTCGTCCCCGCTTGGGCCAGGCCCGGACGGGACATGTGTGCTCCTTGTGTGGGTGTGTCAGACCCTGACCGCACTGTTGGAGGGGCGCACGGAGACCCTCAGTACTCACCCTGTTCATTTTAATAATAAAACATGGCTTTCCTTCTTCAAAGCCGAAGTCGGGATCCACCAGGCCTGAGCAGTTCTGCAGCATGTCTGCCGTGAATTTGCAGGAGAACTTGGTGTGGTTTGGAGCAAGGAAGCGCTCCTGGAAGAAGTACTGGTCGGAGGTGCAGTTGATGCTGTCCTCCTGGGCTGCTGGAGAGTAGCCTGTGGGACGGACGCACCTGCCAGCACTGCCCTGCCCTGGCCCTGACTCCCGCCTGCCCCCCGGGAAGGCCTCGAGCCCTGAGTGCGAGTTTCTTACAGAATAAAGTCAAAGCTGTGGAGCCATTTCACACCTTACCTGCTAGGAAGGTGTGGAGAGTGTGTGTGAGGTCTGCCCAGGTTCTGTTATCAGAAACGTTGTAGACAATTTCCAGGCCTTTCTCCCCATAAACATCTGGCCTTAAGGTTACCCCTGGAGAGAGAACTCTGGGTTTAGTGTCTCCAAATGCTCACCACATCCAAGCCATCGGCTCTGAAGTGGCTGAGGATACGCCAGAGGCTGTGGCCCAGGGCTGGGGTCCGGGTCTTTCCGGCAGCTCAGGAGCCTCAGTGGAGTAAGCTTGTCTGCTGCACATGAAAGCAGGACCCCCAGGACAGCACGGTTGGCATGTGGCCCAGGTGCCCTGCTGGGCGTTGCCCAGGCTCTGCCTGGGGTGTGGAACCTGGCTGACTGCCGTCGGGGAGCGGCCGGGTCTCTCCACCGGGTGCCTGCTCTGTGACAGGTGACGACTAATTGGGAGGCTGCAACTGGGTTTCTACGTAAGATTGTATTTGAACAGGCGTTAAAAAAATCTTCAGTGGTTTTGGTTAAGAACACAAGCAGCCTAACAACATGTTAATTGTCAAACAACACCAGGATGCACTGAACTGTCAAGTGCACATCCTTGAACACCTTGCTGTTTCTGCAGAAACACAGGTGCAGAAACGTGTTTGCTGCAGGTCCTCGGGACCCACCTGCCTCCCGCACGCCACTTGCCTTTCCGTTTCCCGTGCGACTGGGGCCTCTTTTTTTTTTTTGTCATTTCATGTCAACTTACCTCATTCTTTCCATAAACGAGGTTTCATTGTGTGAAGCCTGCAGTTTGCTTAGCAGGTCCCCTGTGGATGCAGCTGGCTTTACGTTTGAGACTGGGTGCGGCTGTTTTACGGATGTTGTTAGAGTAACATCTAGACACGGTTTAAAATGAAAACCTTCAGCAGGGCCTAAGGGAAAAGGCGAATCTGCACTTGCTCTGCGCACTGACCGGCCTGTCTGCCCTGCGGCCGCTGACGACTCGGACGCCTGTTCCTCTGACCTCGCGCCCTGCTGACGTGTAGGTGACCGGCAGGTCTCTTTCCTGCTGGTCTCCGGACGTGCTCCTTTCCCGTGCGTCCTTGCAGAAGCGTTCCATGTGCGTATACAAGCACAGCAAGTGGATGGGAAACTTTGTCTATAAACAAACCCTCTGTTTCATAATTAAAACTAAAGCCAAAGTCGGATATAATTTGGAGTCATTTTTCTCATGGAAAGAAGTTGAGGGGCCACTCGTGCTCTGGGGCTGCTCTTAAAGCCAGTTCGGGGGCCGGGAGGCCACCCTCAGGGGCACCTGTTGGGGGATACGGCCCACCCTGGGACTGCCGGGCTGGCTTCTCTGGGCTTCATTTCTGGGGGGGGCACAGGTCCCTCTGAACACCATCAGAGCCCCGGAGGGGGCAGCCCGGCCTGACGCAGCGTGGGGGCATCTGGGTCTCCGGGGCGTGGCGTCCCCCAAGCCTACCTGGTGACCGCAGCTGGTCTTGGTAGTCCGGCGTGTACGGGTCGACCGTCTGCATGAGCACATAGAGGCACAGGGCGAAGAGCCCGGTCATCACCACGTAGAAGGCCACGTAGTACAGACTGATCCACACTGTGACACAAGGCGGGTGCAAAATTCACCTCAGCCGTTTTAACGAGCACAATTCAGTGGCCTTCAGCGCATCTGTGATGAGGCGCGACCATCTCCCCTGTCTGGTTCCAGAACATTCTCATCCCCCAAAACAGAAGCCCCGCCCCCATGAACAGTCACTGTGCTCCCCTCCCAGACCTGCACCACCGGCTGCGTTCTGCCTCTGGCTTTGCCTGTCTGGACGTCCGCACATGCAGAATCCTGTGACCCAAGGCCCTTGCTCCTGGCTGCCTTCACTCCAGCCGCTGTTTGAGATGTGGCCAAGGATGTGCCCGCACCCCAGCTCCAGCAGGAACTGAGGACCCTCTGAGGGGGGAGTTATGGTTCCCCCATCACAGGAAGGGAAACTGAGGCAGAGAGGTGCCATCCTGCCCATGGTGACCAGTAGTGTAGCTTCGAAGTGCACGGCCGGCCCTGCTTCCACAGGACATCAGGAGGAGAAAGGAAGGCAGGGAGGCCCTGGGAGATGGCTCCGCTCAGCAGCAGGGGTGTCCGTGGGCACCGGCCGCTCAGGGTGCAGCTTCGTGTCTTCTGCTTCTAAGACTCTCCTGTGTGAGCTTCTCCCTCAGAGTCAGAATGAATGGAAGCCACCGCAGCTCCTGGACACAGGTGTCTGCCTGGATGCTGCCTCCATCTCTGGAAATTAGCTTGTGTGTGTGACAGCAGGTGTTTTTAGGGCGTTTTCAGGGAGACACCACTGGGACGAAGATGGCTTTGTGTTCACTGCAGCTCTCCTCTTTCCGGAAAGTGTGATGAACTGGGCCTCCTCCTTCTCTCTAGTGATGTGAGGTGGATTCTGCTTAGTGAGTCATTCTCCAATGACCCAAAACACAACCAAAGGGCAGGACCAAGTCAGAGAGAAGCAAGGGAGCATGGGACCAAGAGGCCAGAGCTCTGAGCTGCGATGGGAGGCTGTGGCCTGTGGACAGGGTGTCCTTTTCTGGCCGGGCCTCTCCTGAGAGTTGGGACAGTGCAGGCCCGGGCCGGGTCCCTTTTCCCTAAGCCAAGGTCCAGCACTCGGCTCAGGCCTGAGTCTTGCTCACCCAGCATCCACTCCAAGTCCCTCCTTTCCCCGTGGCTGTCCCTGGCAACGGCATTCTTGTGTGGTGTGGGCGTGTGGCCACCAGCAACTTGGCTTCAGGTTCCGGTTTTGGGTTTCCGGCTCAGCAACACGGGGCCAGCTGTGGTGGTAGCGGAGGGTTCCGTTCTCTTGCTGGATCACGCCTGACGCCTCCCTGGCACTGGCCCTGCAGGTGTGTGCCTCAGTGTCCCCAGGCCACTCCTGACATGGCTTCCATCTGATGTGGCCACCTGCCCCCAGAGACCTATGCTTGTGAAGGAAGGGGTCTCCGTCCCCCCACTTCGGGTCCTGTGGGTCTGCCTTGGGGCCCATGGTGCACGGTGGTGACGTGGGCAGGGCACGTCTCCCCGGCAGCTGCTGACCCACTCCATGGCGAGTCTCAGACCCACCAGGCGGCTTGCCCCTGCCTTCCAGGTAGGAGCTGGAGGTTGGCCAGGCTGGGCCCAGGCTTGGGTGGGCCGTGCGCCCTGCACTTCCTGGGCCCCCGCTTGCACCACGGTGTTCAGGGCAGGGGTTGGGAGGAGAGTGGGAGCCTCATTCCTGCCGGCTCCCTCTGCCTCTACCACACCCCCCGCTTCTGTAAGAATCACGTGTCCTGTTCCTTTTGCTTTTGTCATTTCCCTTTAATTATGTTTTCCTGGGGGCCTAAGACTTTCTCATCCCCAAATGGAGGCCACGTCCACTAACTGGGCAGTAAGACCATTCTGGAAGGTTCTCTGTAGCCCTGCAGCCAGGAGGCGGCACGAGGGAATCTCAGCATCTAGAAAGGCCCGAAAGATGGGGCTTCCAGGGGCATGGCCGACAGCCCCCAGCCCTGCCCCTGGCCCAGGAGGCCCCTCCACCCAGGTCCCTTCCACTCCAGGAGGCCCCTCCACCCAGGTCCCTTCCAATCCAGGAGGCCCCTCCGCTCCTGGTCCCATCCTCTCCAGGAACGGGGTATTTGTTTGACTTTAAATATGCCATGGCTCCATCTGGCTCTGGTGCCCTTTGAGACTGAGGAGCCTCCGGGGGGGCTGCGGCCTTCACCAGCACTGTGGTGTGTGTGGGAGGCTTGGCAACGTGTCAAGTGTGTTCCCAGCACATCTCAGCTGCACATGCAGGTGGGGCGGGCCTGGAGCTCTGCATTCACACCTCAGCACCGGGACCCCCAGAGCCAGGCACCATGGGGACCGAGGAAGGCCCAGCCTTTCCTGGGAGCCGGGGGTGGTGCCTGGCGGGCCAGTGCAGCTGCGTCCTGAGGCTCGGGGTCCTCAGGGAGGTGGGGACGTGCGGGTGCTTCCCCTAGACCCTCCGTGAGGGGTGAGGGCGTTTCCCGGATGTAGGCGCAGACGCTTCCACCGCGTGTGTGGCCTTGGAGGCCCAGGCATCTGCTTTCCTCCCAAGAGGGCCAGGCTGTCCATGCCTGTGCGCAGTCACAGGGACAGGACCCTGCAGGGTGGACCTCACAAGGCGCAGGTGCTACAGGCTGAGCCAGGCCGGTCCCACCTCCCCTCCGCGTCTGGACGCCAGTGGTGTCCTGGAAAGAGGGGCTGCCGCCGCGTCTTGGGAAAGCCCCTGATTCAGGTCACTGAGTGAATCTGTGCGACCAAGGAGTTGCCATTGCCACCTTTTATGTTCTTTTAAAAATGATTCCGTTTAGAAATATACTTTCAAAATGCTGTTCTCAGACATACGGCTGAAATTTGGGGCCAGTCTGTGGACACCCTCCACGGGCGGCATTGTGCAGTCAGGTGCCAGGTCAACTCAGCCTTTGACATGCTCTGGGGACCCTCACTTTCCTGGGGAGGCAAGTGAGGCCCTGTCCGAAGCCCATCCACACTCTCTGGGCAGGAGCGTCTGGGTCTCACTGTCAGGGGCCCTCTGCTCCCCTCCTCCTGAGCTCACCTGGAGGCCGCGTTCTCAGAGCAGCCCCTCCATGCACCCAGCCCACCTGCCGCCCCCAGCACGTACCCCACCGGGACAGGGTGCGGCCCAGCATCTGCCCTGTGTCCGGGTTCCAGCAGTAGCGCTGGAACTCCTCCATGCGCTGGCTGCACGTCTTCTTCTCCTGCAGCGCCGCCATCGTCCCTGGCCTGGGAGCCTCCCACCTGCTCCCTGCACCCCCTGCGTCCAGACTGAGGCCAGACGCCCTTCTCTGGGCTTTATAGTTTCCTCTGCTAGAGGTCAAAGGCATCGCGGGCAACAGATCCCAGGGAGAGCTCCAGGGCCGAGTTATCAGCGCTGGCCATCGCCTCCCCAAACACCAGGGGTCACCAGGACTGCATTCCACATCCCCCCGCTGCTCTTGGGGTGCCCTTGGCTGCGGCTTTGCCTGCTCTGATAGCGGCAAGGGTGCGTTTCCAGTGGGCAGCACTCACAGGCCCTGCCCCTTCCCTCCTCTCCTTCAGGAGGGAGATCAAGGTTGGAGCAGGGCCGGCCTGGACCCACTGTGTCCTCGACCTTGGGCTGAGCCAGCTGGGGCCGCCTCCCTGGCCTGGGAGGGTGTGAGGCAGAAGAGTGAGGGGCCACTGGCTTTGCGGGCCCCTAGCCGTGGCCGCCCCGATTCTGGGTCACCCAGTGGAAGGGTGAGCCTGGCAGCTGGAGCTGAGTTGGCAGGAAATGCAGGGGTGCTGGGGGCTCCTCTGCCTCCCAGATTCACCCAGAGCAGCAATGTCCTCTTAGATCCCCAGAGGGCTGGGGCACCGAGGGCCCTTTAGGGTATATTTTGTCTGTAGAGGAATTTATAAACATAAACCCCTAAATCTATAGGTCCCCGAAATGAAGTTCCCAGGAGCCCTGAGCATCTGTTGAATGCAGATTCAGCTCCAGTGAGCCCTGGGTGAGGGTGGGGGTGGGCAGACTGCGTTTCTAACAATCCTGGTGGGAGGAAGTAAGGCAGGGGTCCAGGTGGGGGGTGCTCAGCCTGGGCAGCACATTGGGGTCACCGGGGGTCTAGGCAGTGCATTGGGGTCACAGGGCGAGGGCAGGGGCCATGAAGTCATCACTGCCCACTTCTGACCAGAGATTCTGCCTGAGCCCCTTACCCTGGGGGGGAGCACAGGATGTGGAGAGCTGGCAGGCGGTCTTGCTTTGTGGTGCCCTGCAGAATCCCGGCTCAGAGGCTTTGCTGCTGCAGACAGGGGTCTTGGGTGGTGAATGCCATGGCCACCCGCCAGCTGCAGCAAGCACCTCTTCAGGGGGTTGACGGGAACGCAGGGGGTGAATGGAACGTGCACAGGGGTGTTTTGACAAATACAAATCGAAGTCAACTGAAATGAGGAGGCTTGTGTGTCCAGAATGACATGCTGGGTTTCCCACACTGTCACCTCTAGGGTGTTCCTCTCAGGGACCTGTGTAACCAAATTCATTTCTTAGAAGAAAGAAAAGCCCTCTAGGCATTATGCTGCTTTAATTTTTAAAGATAATTTAGAGTTTGCAAAATAATCACCCTAAAATTCAAATGGAATGATGTCATTTTAGCCTGCATTTCTATAATTTTTTTCATTTTTTTAATTTCTAACTTTTATTTATTTAATTTTTTTTTTTTTTTGGTAGAGATGGGGTCTCCCTATGTTGCCTAGACTGGTTTAGAACTCCTGGTATCAAGTGATCCTCCCACCTCAGCCTCCCAAATTGCTAGGATTACAGGCGTGAGCCACTGTGCCTGGCCACAATTTCTCAGTGGACTCATCCTACACATTTTCTTTAACATCTTACCCATTTTGGCTTTGGAGTTTTAGGGCAATAAAAACACAGGATCTGGCAGTAGACCACAGTCAAATTGTTCACAGCCTGTGGCCCTGGGACCCCCGAGTGCCAGGGGTCAGACCACATCTGTATGCAGCAATTGCTGTCTGTGAAGTGTATAGATGCTCCTGAAATGAACAGTATGAATTCCTTCTAAACATCTTTGAATTTAGTCTTCCTAATGTAGCCTCTGAATTTCCAGAAGCAGGTGCATGTGCTGAACTGTACACATGTTATCAGAATGACCTTCTTCTGGACACATACGTGTGGGGAGGAGGGCCAGGGACCTTGGTAGAGGGCAGTTTCCCCACAGCATGCTATGAGAACATAGAACTAGGTGCTCCATAAAAATTAGGTGCCAGACAATGAGGGGAGCCCAGAATCCCGCCCCCTTCTGGCGGTCACTTGTCACCCTCTCTTCCCCCACCTGAGTGGTGTCAGACACAGCCTAGTGGAAAGTGAGGACTGTGACCATCACACCATGACAAGGCCACCCCCAACTGTGGTGTCAGTGGAGACCAAGTGGAGAGCCAGGACTCCTACCCACCCATCCAGCAGTCCTCGGGAGCCCACCCACAGGTTCCCAGTGGGAAACCTAGACTTCCAGCCCTACATGATGGGGACAAGGAGAAGCCTCTCCCTTTTGCTGCTGAAGTGGGGTCAGAGAAAGCCAGTAAACAGAGAAGGATTAAATAATATGAAAACGTCCAGGTTTCAGTAGATAACCACTCATCACACAAAGAACAAGCAAGATTTTAAAATGACTTAACACAGGCTGGTTATGATGGCTCATGCCTTGTGATCCCTGAGCTTTGGGAGGCTGAGGCAAGATCATTTTAGAACAGGAGTTCCAGACCAGCCTGGGCATTTCTACTTACAGAAAATAAAAATTCTAAAAAATGAATTAAAGAAGACAATATATGCAACACCAAGGTGACAGAGATGTTAGAATTAGCTGAGAAAAATTTTAAAGCAGCCATGATAAAAATGCTTGAATAGCAATTACAAGCAATCTTGAAGCAAATGAAAAATTAGAAAGCTGCAAAATATGGAAAGCAAACTGCTAGAACCAAAAGTAGTAATAAACAAATCCACAGTCGTAGTTGGAGATCTCAACACTTCTCTCTTAACAATTGATAGAACAACCAAATAGAAAATCAGCATGGATATAGAAGAACCTGGCACCATCCACCAACAGGGTGTCATTGACATTCGTAGGCCACTCAACAGAAACACACGTTCTTTTTAAGTCCCCATGAAATATACATTAAGATAGGCCATATCTTGGGCCATAAAGGAAGTCTTAGCAAATTTAAATAATTTAAATCATACAGAGTGTGTTCTCCGGTCACAACTGAATCAAATTAGATATTAATAACAAAGATAACAGGAAAACTTCCTCCAAATAGGAAAGCTGAACAGCATACTTCTAATAACTTATGAATCAAAAAGAAAGTTTCAAGGGAAATTTAAAAAATATATGGAACCGAATGAAGAAAAAAATAAAACTCATGGGACATAGTTAAAACAGTATTAAGAGGAAAATTTATAGCACTAAAAATGCATATTTTGGAAAAGAGGAAAAGTCTCAAAAAACCTAAGCTCTCATCTCACAAACCTAGAAAGAAAAAGAAAAGCAAATAAAACAAAGCAAAGGCAAGCAAACAAACAACAACAAAAACAAGCAGAAGGAAGAAATTAAAAGATAAGAGCCCAAACTGATGAACTCGAAAACGGAAAAGCAATCGAGAGGACTGGTTCTTTGAAAAGATCAATAAAATTAATTAGCTTGTAGCCAGAGAGGAGTCTGAGGTGATCGATGGCAGGAATAAAACAGGGGCTATCATTACAGACCCTGCAAACATTGAAAAGATAAGGAAGGAAATACTACATGCAATTCTATGTGCATAAACTTTACAACTTAGATAATGGACTGCTTCATCAAAAATCACAATTCACCCAATTTCAAATAGATAATGTGAATAGCCTGTAACTTTTAAGAAAACTGAGTTCATAATTTAAAATCTCCCAATAAAGAAACCTCTAGGCCCAGATGATTTCATGGGACGATTATACCAAATGTTTAATAAAGAATTAACACGAATTTCTCACCATCTTTTGGAAAATAGGAGAAGAGGAACTGTTTCCTAACTCATGAGACTAGTGTTACCTTTATACCAAAATTAGACAAGGATAGTACAAAAATAGAAAACTACAGATCAACATTCCTCATAAATATAGATGCAAAAACCATAAAAAAAATATTGGTAAATTGAATCCAACAAAATATAAAAAGCAAATGCCTTGACCAAGTGGGATGTACTCCAGGAATGCAAGGCTGGCTCAGTATTCGAAACCCCATCAGTGTGATCCACCACATTAACAGGCTGAAAGAAAAAAAACACACACGATCATATCAATCAGTGAAGAAAAGGAATTTGATGAAATTCAGCTTCCATGTGTCAAAAGCTCTCAGCAAACCAAGAGCAGAAGGAAGCCTATTCAACTTGATTAAAAACATTGAAAAAAAACCCACAGCCAACAGTGTGCCCAATGGTGAAAGATGGAAATTTTTTACCCCAGCACTGGGAAGAGGGCTCCCTCATTCTTATCCAACATTGTACTGGAAGTTCTAGCTAGAGCAATGAACAAGAAGAGGAAATAAAAAGCATGCATATCAGGAAGGAAGAAAGAAAACTGTCTTTATTTGCAGTTAACATGAGTGCATATGTAGAAAATCTCAAAGAATCCATAACAAAACTCCTACAGCTCATAAGTGAGTTTAAAAAGGTCTCAGGATATGACATGAAGGTGTGAAAATTCACTGTACATCTATATACTAGCAATACGCATATGGATACCAAAATTAAAAATACAATGCCAGGCTGGGCACAGTGGCTCATGCCTGTAATCCCAGCACTTTGGGAGGCTGAGGTAGGAGAATCACCTGAGGTCAGGAGTTTGAGACTAGCCTGATCAACATGGAGAAACCCCATATCTACTAAAAATACAAAATCAGCTGGGTATGGTGGTACATGCCTGTAATCCCAGCTACTCAGGAGGCTGAGGCAGGAGAATCGCTTGAACCTGGAGGGCAGAGGTTGCGGTGAGCCAAGATTGCACCATTGCACTCCAGCCTGGGCAAAAAGAGCAAAACTCCATCTCAAAAAAACAAACACACAATGCCATTTATGCTTGCTCAAAACCAAGAGGAATATTTAGGTGTTAATCTAACAAAACATGTACAGGATTTGCATGCTGAAACTCATGTAATATTGATGAAAGAAATTAGAGATTGAATAAACAGAGACGCACACCATGTTTATAGCTTGGAAGACTCAACAAAGAGATCAATCTCGCCGAGTTGATATATGGGTGTAACATAATTTCTATCAAAATCCAAGCATGATGTTTTTGGTAGATACATACAAGATTATTTTAAAATTTATATAGAAAAGCAAAGGAACTGAAATAAGTAAATATTTTCTTGCTTATTTTGAACATAGGGTTTTTTGAAAACAATTTTTGAAAAATTTTTTGAAAAACAAGAATAAAATGAGAGGACTCAGTCTACCCAATCTCAAAGCTTATTATGTATCTGCAGCAATCAAGATTGTGTACTGTGGTCAGAGGGAGACACATGGATCAATGGAACAGAAGACAAGATCCAGAGGTAGACCCATGCAGTATGTGCAACTGATTTCTGACAAAAGCACATAAGGAATTCAATGAAGCAAAAACAGCCTTTTCAACAAACAGTGCTGAAGCAATTGGACATCCATTGGCCAAAGGGGGAGGAAAAAGAGCCTTAACCTCTTAAACCTTATACAAAAATTGACTCAGAGTGGATATGAACGTAAATGTAAATTGTAAAACTATAAAACTTTTAGGAAAAAGATGGGAGAAAATCTTCAAGATCTAGGGCTAGACAACATCAAAAACACGATCCATAATATTTATATTCCACAAAATTTAAAACTTCTGCCCTATGAAAGCCCATATAGAAAGGAGGCAGAGGCAAGCTATCACTGGGAGAGAGAGGATATTCGAAAACCGTGTGTCTGACAGCGGAGTAGTATCTAGTATCAACAGAATCTCAAGACTCATGACAGGAAAGCAGACAATCCAGTTGTAACGCGGTCAAAAGACGTGAAGAGACCTGTCACCCAAGAGCACGCACAGATGGCAAGCAACACGTGGAAAGGCGTTCGTCTACCGTTAGGGAAATGTGAATTAAAACCGTATGGGAACACCGCACACCTGCCGGGAGGGCCCGAATAAAAGACCGTGGCAGCACTAAACCCTGGGGAGGATCCTGAGCGGGGAGCTGCTTGCCATCGCTGATGGGAATGTAAAATGGCTCGGCCACTCCAGAAAATAGCTTGTGGGTTCCTTCAAAACTAAAGGTGCAATTACCGTGTGACCCAGCATTTACCCCAGAAAAATAGAAACGTGTATTCACACAGAGGCCCACACTCTAATAATGTTTACAGCACCTTTATTCATGATAACTAGAATGGGGAAAGACCCAGGTGTCCTTCAACTGTGAACGGGAACAGGCTGTGGCGCCTCCTCCGTGGAGCACAACTCGGAGGTGAGGAGGGCGTGGCTGACACACCCAGGTGTGGGTGTGGGGTATTCCCGTGGACGGCTGTGCTGAGTGAAAGATGCAGACCCTAAAAGGCCACATCCTGTCTGACTCCATTCACATGGCGTTCTTGGAGAAGTCGTGGTTGCTGGGTGTTGAGAAGGACAGGCTGGAGGAACATGAGTGCGATCTGTGAGGGGCCCAGGAGGGTCTCACGGATGGAGGCGGCCTTCACCTCCACTGGATGGATGTCAGTATCCTTGCTACTTGGCATTGTTTTTTAACACTGCATGTAAATCTACAATTATCACAAAATAGTTTAATTAGAAAGGGATTTCCAGAGCCAAATGAATTTGGGAAACTGTGTACTTGTCTTTTGAGAGGTTCATTCACTCTGAAGTCACTGAGTAAGCCCTGTGAGGGGCATGTTTAACATATTTAACCTGGTTTAACCAAATGCTTCTCAACATGACCGCACGTGGAACAGCCCCAGTCCAAGGGGAAATTGTCCTCCTCAGACCCTGCATCACCACAGCATCCGCACCACCTGCGGACTTGTTACAGGTGCACGATCTTGGCCCGTTGAAGCAGCCTTTTATTTTAGCAAGGTCTCCGGGCGATTTGTGTCCGTAGCTGTTTGAGGCGTGGCCCAGGACAGGCAGGGAGACATCAGCAGAGGCGACTTCACTTCACAAAGCTCTGCAGTTGCCCTGATGGGTGAGCCGGCAGGAAGGAGTTAAAGTGATCGGCCCAAGGTCACCAAGGTCACCGCTGTGAAGGGCAGGGCTGGGCCCCTGCAGGGCTCCTGGAATATCACTCACCTCAAATATTTACTCACGATCCACCTGCCGAAGCTCTCTGGAGGCCATAGGGACCTTGGCTCCGTCCGCAGGCCCTCACTTCAGCCTCCTTGGTTGCTACAGAGGACCCTGCACCCAGGTGCAGCCCTGGTGCCCTCCCACAGGTGCCTTTTCTCCCGTGTAGAACAGGGTGGGCTGGCGGTCTCAACTTCTGCTCACTCTGGCATTCTTCCTTTCTTGGGATCCTTTGCTTTTTCTCTGTGTGAGCTGGACCCAACACCCTGCTCACTTCCTCCTCACTCTTCTCCAAACCTTTATTGAGTACCTACTGTGTGCTGGAATAAGACAGGCAGGGCCATGCCCTCACGAAGCTGACATTCCTATTGGTGCGACCATCTGCAGGTGTGTCCCAGGTGTGTCCCAGGTGTGCCCCAGCTGTCTCAGGTGTGTCCTAGCTGTCCCCCAGGAGTCCCCAGGTGTGCCCCAGGTGTGTCCCACCTCTCCCCCAGGTGTGTCCCAGGTGTGCCCTGATGTGCCTCAGATGTGTCTCAGGTGTGCCCCAGCTGCCCCAGGTGTGTCCTAGGTGGGTTCCAAGTATGCCCCAGCTGCATTTTAGGTGTTTCAGGCATGGCCCAGGTGTGCTCCAGCTGTCTCAGGTGTGTCCCAGGTGTGTCCCAGCTGTCCCCCAGGTGTGCCCCAGGTGTGCCCCAGCAGTCTCAGCTATCTCAGGTGTACCCCAGGTATGTCCCAGGTGTGCCCCAGCTGCCCTAGGTGTGTCCTAGGTGGGTCCCAAGTGTGCCCCAGCTGCATTTTAGGTATTTCAAGTGTTCCCCAGGTGTACTCCAGGTGTGTCCCAGTTGTGCCCCAGGTGTGCCCCATGTATGCTCCGGCTGTCTCAGGTGTGCCCAGTTGTTTCCCCAGCTGTGTCCCAGGTGTGTCTCAGGTGGATTCCACATGCGCCCCTCTGAGTGGAGCCTTGGTTTGGTGTAGCTCTGGGGATTTTCTGCTCCCTGGTCCTGGTGTCACCTGCAACTGTTTCTTGGCAATACTGCCTTGCCTGCAAACGCCAGGTGAGTAGAAGAAACATGACCGGAGTTGACCCCTCCATAAGCGCTGGTGTCCCCCACAGAAAGCTGTTCACCCCAGGAAGCTGTTCACTGTGGGGTTGTTTCCTCTCTAAATTCCTATTATCAGGTGGTTTTCTTCTCACTTGCTATTTCCTTAAAAATAAAAATGAAATATAGCAGGGAAAACAGCCTTCATAAATTGGTTTCTTCTGGCACCAGCCTCTCCCGTCCGGCCCACATCCCACAAGGAAACAGCAGGCCTGAGGCCAGCTGCTGAGGCTGGGAGTGGCTGGGCAGCTCAGAACACAGCTTTGAGTGCCTCTCCAGCCCCGGGCCCCAGAAACCTGGGGGTTGTTTGTTCTCAGGGGAAAAGCGAGGCGGCCCCTTGGAGGAAGGGGCTGGGCAGAATGTCTAATCGGATTCCAAGCGGCTCAGGGGATTGTCTTTTTCTAGCACCTTCTTGCCACTCCTAAGCGTCCTCGGTGACCCCAGCTGGGATTTAGCCTGGTGCTGTGTCAGCTCCGGACTCCCAGGGGTCCCCAGTGGTCCCCAGGCACCCTCGGCACGGCCAGGGCGTCTCCCTCGTCCAGTGAGGGCAGGGACGGGCCACAGGCCAAGGGCAGCAGTCAGGCCCGCTCTGGCTGTGAGTGCCGCTGGCTCGGCCTCGGCCAATGGGCCCTCGCGTCTGAGGCGGGCAAGAAGCCAGCTCCGGGATGGATTTCGGGTCCCTGGAGACTGTGGTGGCCAACTCTGCGTTCATCGCTGCCCGAGGCAGCTTTGACGGGAGCAGCTCCCAGTCCTCCCGGGACAAGAAGTACCTGGCCAAGCTCAAGCTGCCCCCGCTGTCCAAGTGTGAGTCCCTCCGCACCAGCCTCAGCCTGGAGTTCGAGAGCGTGTGCTTGGAGCAGCCCATCGGCAAGAAGCTCTTCCAGCAGTTCCTGCAGTCGGGGGAGAAGCACCTGCCGGCCCTGGAGCTCTGGAAAGACATCGAGGACTACGACACAGTGGACGATGACCTCCGGCCGCAGAAGGCCAAGACCATACTGGCCCACTACCTGGACCCCCAGGCTAAGCTCTTCTGCAGCTTTCTGGATGAGGGGTCGGTGACCAAGTGTAAGGAAGGGTCCGTGGAGAGCCAAGACAGGCTCTTCCAGCCTCTGCTCCAGGCCACCCTGGCACACCTGAGCCAGGCCCCCTTCCAGGAGTACCTGGACAGTCTGCACTTCCTGAGGTTCCTGCAGTGGAAGTGGCTGGAAGCCCAGCCCATGGGGGAGGACTGGTTCCTGGACTTCAGGGTCCTGGGGAAAGGGGGCTTCGGGGAGGTGTCGGCCTGCCAGATGAAGGCCACCGGCAAGCTGTATGCCTGCAAGAAGCTGAACAAGAAGCGGCTGAAGAAGAGGAAGGGCTACCAGGTGAGCCACGCGGCCCAGCTGGCAGGGGTGGGGCGCAGGGTGGAGAGGGCCGCAGGTCGCCCTCAGCAGCCGGTGCCTAAGGGAGCACGCACGCCAGCCTCGCCGCCGGGACCCCTGAGACCGTTCGCGTCCGTCTCCCTCGGTGAGTGGCCTCCACGTTTTTGGGAGGGGATGTGTCACGTTCGGTCCTCAGTTTTTCACCAGCCACAGAATAGCCTCAAGTATGAGGGAAAGGGCCTCGCAGGGGCGGCAGCGGAGGGCGGGGGTCTCCGGATTCTTTGCCCTGACTGCGGAAGACTTTCCGGCCCTGGCTCCCGTCAGAGCAGACAACGCAGGAGGAATGGAGGCAAGCAGAGGCAGCCTCGCCCTGATGACTCGTTTATGTGAGACGGACGGAGCCTGGCGTGACGCCGGGTGCGGGAACTGCTTCCCGAGTGTGGCTGTTCTCGGGGTGGGAGTGAGTGACAGGATGCTGGTGGCACTAAGTTTCATCCGCTCTGCCCGCTGGCGTCAGACAGGGCATCTGGGCCGGGATCAGCAGAAGCTGCTTATAGGTCTTAAGGGCGAGGTGCAGCAGCCATGCCGGGTGTGGACGTGATCTCCCGAGCCAGCCCCCTGCCCTTCGGCTCCACGTGGCTCTTGGGCTCTCCCCCACTGCACAGCTGTGTTGAGGGCACGGGAAGCTCTCAGAGTGAAGCAGCAGCTGCTGTGCACCCTGGCTCTGCAGGGCCTCAGCCCTGAGTGAGGGTGAAATGCCAGGTGCCCGTGGCGCTGGGCGGAGGCCCCAGAACACCCGGGTGTTCTCACCGTGGAACTCAGGGGAGTCGCTGTGCCGCGTGCTTGTAGCGGTGATTCTAAAATGAGCTTTCTTGACATCTGATTCCCACACCATGCCATTCACATCTACCTGTCAGTTTAACCCAACAATTTGTCTCTTCTCCTGACTCCGGTCACCTAACTGAACTTCATACTGAGATCAACTGAACACCTCCCGTGAAGTGCAGACAGAGGGGCCTCCTCCTCCAGCAGCAGTTCCTTCTTCAAAGAGGGACATGCTGTCCTGATCCACACACTTACACATTGTTCAGTGGAGCATCATGAGTCTCAAACACAAAATGAAGCAGAGTCGTGAGGTGGTTTGGGAGGCGCTGGTCTGTGAGCCCAGGCCACGGGGCCAGGATGGGAGGGGGCTGTGGCTGCAGGATTGCTGGGCAGGCCAGGCTGCTGTCGTCCTCATCTGTGTTGCTCAGCCTTGGGCTTGAGCCGCCCCTTGCCGGAGGCTGGCCCAGAAGGTCAGAAGCCCCTGTATGTGAAGGAATTCACATGTCTGATTTTCTGAAATAGGGGTGCGGGCATGTTTTGAAGTCCTTTGCAATTGCTTTGTGAAAGCTGCGTTTAAAGTGTGTTTGCAACTCTGTTTAGTGGCTGTGGGTGCCGTGGGCGTGCCCATGGGCACACCGTCTCTGCGATGCCCCTGGCCCCTTTCCTGTTCAAAGCCAGCACTGATGCACCATCTCGCTTTTCAGGGTGCTATGGTGGAGAAGAAGATTCTGATGAAGGTGCACAACAGGTTCATTGTGTCTCTGGCCTATGCATTTGAAACCAAAGCCGACCTCTGTCTGGTGATGACCATCATGAACGGAGGCGACCTCAGGTAAGGGCTGGTCGGGAGGGTGCCAGGGGACCCTGCTTTCGCACTGTGTCAGGGTTTCCAGGGCCCGATGGGGCTGCTTCCCATGTGCAGAGCCATGGCGGCCAAGCCCTGCCCTCGAGGGAAAGGCTTGCCCCCATCACAGTCCCCTTCTCACTGCCTGCAGGCGCTGGTCCCTGAAACAATGCACCTCGGACCCACGTCAGTGCAGGAGCCTGGGAGGAGCCCAACCTACCAGTCAGGGCACATCCTGTGTGCACCCTGGTGTGGTGTGGGGGGCACATGGTGCCTTGGGGGACAGGTGACGCAGTGGGGGGGCCTCTGCAGGGCTGGGGGCCTTGCACCAGGAGAGTAAATGAAGATGGACGTCATCAGCACCCACTCCTAGGGCTGACGCAGAGCTGGAGACAAGTCCAGCTGGGGGCCATGGCTTTGCTGTGCCCTGGCAGAGAGGAGGTACCAACGCCTCCACAAAGTCTGGCCCCAGATCTGCCTCTGAGGCAGGCCCCAGGCCCAGGTGGGAGATCGGCTCTCAGGCTCGCAGTGGGGCAGAGACCTGCTTGGTAGCTGGGCCCTTAGCCACTGCTTGCTCTGTTTCCTGGTCTGTGCAATGGGGAGAGATAATATCTAAGTTCAAAGATTGTTGGAAGATTCAGACAACATGTGTGAAATACCTGGAGTGTCTGGCACCTGTAAGGGGGGGGCAGGGCCATGGCTGTGGTTGGCAGCACCGTGCCCCATTCTCACCTGCTTTTAATTTCCAAGGAAACTCCTCCAGGTGAGGCTGGCAGCCCCATTTCTCAGATGAGAAATGTGAGCCTAGACTAAGTCACCACACAAGGCTCCTACAGAGAGGAGGGGAGAGGAGAGGGCGCTGGGAAGGGGAGTCACAGGGGTGCCCAGGTGGAGGGGAGGGGAGAGGGCACGGGGAAGGGGAGTCACAGGGGTG